AGAACTTCATATTTACCCTTGCATAGACTCTTACAATCCCTCTATCAACGTTTCGTGTTAAAAAACCTTTTATTTAATCGTTGAAGATAGGAGGATGAATCTGCATATTTTTTTAAATGACCTAATTTGATTTTTCTCGCAATATCTCCGAAACTACTGGGTTTATCGAGAAATGTCATAACATCTTTTTTGTGGAGAATTGAATTTCCAACAAAAAATCTCTCTTGACATTTACCGAAACAGCCACTCGTTCCGGAGATATTTCCATTTTTCTTTTCCCCAAGACTTCTGCATTCGATAAAAAGCGAGTTATTGTTGACATTTTTTCAGTGATGGGAGAGGGAAAATGGAGACACCAGTGTGGTCAACCGGAGGAATGTCTCCTACAAAAAGCAATTTACCGACGCTAAACTATGAGAATACCCCCGACAATAAAAGTCGGAGTATGTCTCAGTCAGAGGCGTCCAGAAGGACTCATCTCAGATCGACATGTGGTTCCACAAGTCGTGTGAGAAACAAAATCAAACGTCACGATCGAATTACTCACGGTGTAACGAGTGCCCACTCCAGTGACAAAAGACAATTGAAGGGGTTTAATGATTCACCGAGTTTTAATACTAGTTTTAGCTGTAATGGTGCGGACAGAACGATTGAATCTGACAGTGTCACCAGTGTGTGTGGAATTAAGTTAAGACGTATGTTCAAGTGTTACCGAAATTCTCCACTCAATCATCTTTGGAAGTCACTTGTATTCATATTATTCAGCTTAATATGCATCTCGGCGACGGACCAGTGCGCTCTGGGCCTGAAAACACCAGGACGTGAGTAAATTATTGTGATTAAATAATGTAATTCAATTTTCACGTCACCAAAATATCCCAATTTCGATTCTAAAATCTCCCCATAGCCTCAGTCCTCATTTTACCCTTCAACTTTAACTCTAGTCTAGTCACCAAACGCGGCCCTGCGATTGGTCACCTCCGCGGGGATTCCCCGCCGTGTTATTTAGGCTCCAGCGTTGCCGAATTCACTCTACACTCCCCGGACGCGTTTAGCCAGTTTCCTGCAACGTCGCGTCACGGGCCATTTCATTTATCATGGGAAAAAATAATTGATCGGTCCGAAATAATGTGTTTTCTTCAGGAATCGTGGGAAATATGTTGCTCTAAAAACTACTATTATTTTTTAGACCCTTCAATTGACGAAGAAAATTTTTTTTTATGAATAATTTTGGTAGAGCTTTCTTCAATTTCTTTGGATCGCATAAAAGATCTGAAGATATGAAAAATCATGTAAAATCAATTTATCTGTGTTTATATATTTCTGCTGAATGAACTGAATAAATCCTCTTAAGGGTTTGGAAGATGTAATAAAAAAAATTGAATTTTTCCGGTTAGCAAGTCAATTGTAATTGAAGAAAAACGACGCGCGTCGGGTTTCCCTCATAAGGTGACTAATCTAGGGCTCAAATTACCCTAAATTCATTCATCCCGTAATGCCCAAGAACACGAGACTCATCTTCGAAAAAAATCATTAGCACAATTTAGTTTAATTAAAATTGGGCTATTCGTCCGTTGGATGCCCCTAAATTCATCCAAATCATGCGACTTCAGTGTGTAAGTAAGGATTTCTTATTTGATTCAAACAATTAATTAACAAATAATTTCCTATTTGACGCAACCAGTTATTCTCGCCTGCATCACCACATGAGAATAGAAAAACTCAATAATGTATGAGAACGCAATAAATTGAGTCATTTAGGCTCTTCTGGGTGTTGTTATCTTCGGAAAAGCCTCAAAATGCCCCTAAATTCATCCAAATCATGCGACTCCATCACCACCGATTGAACATTCAATCACCTCAACACTTCGATATCCTCCAAAAATGACTCGCCTCACTGAAACAGCGCATATCAGGAAATGTCATGAAAGCATTTCTCATTTGATTCAAACAATTAATTAACAAATAATTTCCTATTTGACGCAAACAGTTATTCTCGCCTGCATCACCACATGAGAATAGAAAAACACAATAACGTATGAGAACGCAATAAATTGAGTCATTTAGGCTCTTCTGGGTGTTGTTATCTTCGGAAAAGCCTCAAAATGCCCCTAAATTCATCCAAATCATGCGACTCCATCGCCACCGATTGAACATTCACCTCAACACCTCGATGTCCTCCAAAAATGACTCGCCTCACTGAAACAGCGCATATCAGGAAATTTCATGAAAGCATTTCTCATTTGATTCAAACAATTAATTAACAAATAATTTCCTATTTGACGCAAACAGTTATTCTCGCCTGCATCACCACATGAGAATAGAAAAACTCAATAATGTATGAGAACGCAATAAATTGAGTCATTTAGGCTCTTCTGGGTGTTGTTATCTTCGGAAACGCCTCAAAATGCCCCTAAATTCATCCAAATCATGCGACTCCATCGCCACCGATTGAACATTCACCTCAACACCTCGATGTCCTCCAAAAATAACTCGCCTCACTGAAACAGCGCATATCCCCTTATCTCTCATTTTGGAATTCTCAGCTTCGCGCTAAATGCATACATCCACACACAATACCGTCTCCAAGTACAGTTATCATGAAATATTCCCAGCCGACACCTGAAACCCCCCCACAATTGCGAAATAAATTTGAACGCGATAGTCCTTTGTCCCGAATTGAATCGAGAACAATCGTAATGACAAGTTGTTTTCTGTTAAATCAAGTGTTTTACCCGAACGAATAAATGTTCACAGGAACCTGGCCAGCAGGTGACATTGTCCTCGAGGTGGGCCGACCCCTCAGAATTCTCTGTATGCTGAATAAGACGTACATTGATGCAGAATTCCCTGGTAAAAATGCATCGGATCTGATATTCTTCCGCAGTAACAGGGAAATGGAGCCCGAGTTCATCAAAATAATAAATGAAACGACAATTGAGATGTTTGTCGAGAAGCCACCACCATCTAAAGACATGTATTACTGCAAACTGAGGCTCAACGATGGCTACAGCAAGAAGTACGAGGCTGTATGCCTCAATAACGTCGTAATTGGATGTGAGTAAATAGATATATTCTCATTCCTCGTAGCAATGACCATATCAATAGCCTCGGTTTATCGTTCCTCGGGGTCGAGAGACTGAGAGACCGCACTGAATTTCTCAAAGGCTATGGAATTTTCATGTTTTTCTCGAATTTGAAGAATTCTGTTGTTGTGCTCGGCTTCACCAAGGTCTAGAGGTTTGACTATTCATCGCGTTATCGCTGTCTTTATTCATTATTTTTGCGGATAACTCGAGACACCGCGCCATCGGTGGTATAATAATCAGCGAGGTATTGAATATTCAGGAAATTATTGACAGAGAAGTCAAGTCATTTATCAAATTAAGAAATTTTTTGCTTTTTATTTATTTATTCGTCCCATGTGTATTCTCTCGGGTTTTTACATTTTCTTTCATATACCCATCAAATTTTTCAAGATATACGGGTAAAAAAAATTAATAATAAGGTCAAGTTAGGACATTGCCAAACAATGAAAACACCCAGAGCCCTCTTCTCTCTTCAGTTGCGTTGAGAACGTTGACGTTACGAAATTTAATGTTTTCTTCTCAAAAGAATTCATTTGAAATTTCTTCGTTCCGTTTCATCGGTTCATCAGTCCATTGGGGATTAATCTCAAAGTGTTATTTTTTTAACAACGGGTTTACTCTAGAAATTGAAAGACTTCATTGAATAAATTAAATAATAATAATAATAACAATAAGAATAAGAATAAACAGAATAATTATTAGGGCATTTTTATAATTTCTTCAATTCCCATGAGAGAATTCATTAATTATCTTCATATATCTCAAGTGGACTATTAATTATAGTATCACTATTCTCGTTACTCATTATTTTCGCGAATAACTGTAGACGACGTACGTCATTTGCCAAGAATCACTTCTGCTGGCAAAGAACTAAGTTTTGAAATTGCGAAATTCGTTGTTGTATTCTGAAAATAATAAAAGGACGAATCATTCATTCAAACTTCATTTTACACTTGTTCATTCTGTTTCATCTTAATTCGGGATTAATCTGAAAATTTTATTTTTCAATAGAGTTGTTCTAGTCGAGAAACTTTAAAAACTCAATGAATTCTCAAAACCGAGGAGTTAAAATTCTTCATAATGTCCTCAATTCCCTAGACAGAGTTCATTCATTAGATTTATCTATCACAAGGTCGAAAGGTTTTCCCTCGGCGGGGAACAAGTCGCTTATTATCTCATCGCAACTCTCGTTACTCATTATTTTCATGAGTATCTGTAGACGATCGACGTCATTGTCCACACAATACCCTCAGTGAGGCACCGCATTGAGGAAGTTACCGATAAACAGTTTACATTCCATGGGATATCGTTGAGAGGGCCCCTGTTAGCATTCATGAAGTCATCAATAATATCGATTACCGCTTTCACCGTATTTCATAGAATTCAGGATTGTTTGTTCCCTCGATAATCCGTATTGATGACATGAATAAGGAAATGAAATCGTAATATTCCGACCACTGCTTCTTGTAATATTATGGAAACTAGTGTGTAGTGGCCCGTCTTACGGCGGCTCAATTTTTTTCTTTGGAGTCGACATTTCGACGAGAAATGCTAGAACATTCTAGAATGATTTTTATAAATGTTTAGGGGGTTTCAGAGCAGTTTGGGATATGATAGAATGAATGATCAAGGCTTGAAAAAATGGAGAGCTTTCGAGACCATTGCCGAATTCACCAGAACATTCTGTACAGCTCTGGATTTTTCTAGAATTTTCTAGAACTAGAACTGTGCGCGCGCTATCGCGCGCTTATCTATTCGTTGTGAACATGAAGAAATCGAATTTATTAAACTTCATATACTCACAGATATTTTATAAATATTGATAATGACTTGAAGAGAATTAAGAGAATGAAGACTGAAACATCAATGAATAATTTTTAATCCTCGATTAATTCTTTTTTTGACTTTTTAAAATAATCTGAGTAAAATCTATAATTGTTGAAAAATGAGGGGAGGGTTATGAAATGATTTCCTAGAGAACTGAAACAATTTCTTGAATTCTTTGGAAAATTTCAGTTTTCCAGATAACCGTAGATCTCCAAAGATTTTTCTCGAATTACTTGGGAAACCGAAGAATTTTCATGAATTTTGTAGAGTTTAGAATTTATGTATGAAAATCTGAGAAGCAAGAATTGATCATTTTTGCGGATGATAAATACGAAAAAATTAAAATTTGGGAAGTGAAGAATAATTTGTGAGTTAAAAAAATTTAGAAATGCTGTTTTTTTTCTCATGATCAACAATTAAGCAATTTAGATGTGTTTTGATATAAAGATAAACTTCACACATGAAAAAAATTAAAAATACTAAATGTGAGGAATTAACCACAATTAAGTATTATTAATTAAGACACAATTAAGGATTAGTAAACACAATTTAATACAATTAAATATTATCTTCCAGCCAAACCGAAAGAGCCCCAAAACTTCACGTGCGTATCGAATAACTGGGAGAACATGACGTGTACGTGGGATCCAGTGCCCAATTACGTTGAGACTCGTTTCTCTCTTGCCTTCAAATTGCTGGGACGCGCTGGTGGACGCAAGCTCTATCCCTGCCCGAAGGAGAAGGAGGACCAGAAACCACTGGCGAAAAATCGATGCTACTGGGATACATCGACGAATCCGATCTATCGGCAGCCCTACGAGTACTACATCTTCAATCTTACTGCTGAGAATGTCCTTGGGAATATATCTGTATTGTACAAATTCCACCACTATGCTCATGGTGAGTGATGCCTTCAATTTCGTCAGTTTCTCGGTCAAAGGGGAGAAGATTAATTGATTTAATTAAGAAGATTAATTTTAATTTTAACTATTCATTTTGAGAGTGAATGGATTGAGGGGAAAAAATGAATTCTGGCTAAAATTCATTCGGCGGTTTCTAGCTAAACGTCAGATATTTTTCATATCTGTTCCAAAAATTTAGCTGTCTTCCAGTTTTATCACATCACAACTGAATTATCAAATTGAAATTTCGTTAACAGTGATTCCAGCAAAGCCATCGAATCTCACAGTGGTAAATAAAACATCAGACAGCGTTCTTCTTCACTGGAGCGTGCCATTTCCAATGCAGAATTTTCCACCGGGTCTGCATCACCGAGTGACTTATCAGCACCAATGGGACTCCAGAAAAACTTGGCAGGTGTGCAAACTCGAAAATAATTCCTCTGTCCATAATTCAGTGGCGAAGTGGTAAAAGGAGATGAGCGCATTTTTTATTTATTTTTTAAAATTCGGATTATCTTGGTGAAGAGTGATTTTAGGAGATAATATCAAGAGAGCTTTTTTGTAGCTGATTTAATTTCCGACAAAAAATGTGTTTTGACATTATCACCGAAAATCACTCCTGACTAAAATAATCCGACGTAAAATGATGTGAAAAATGCACTCATCTCCTTTTACCACTTCGCTACTGAATTCAATGCAATTGTCGTGCAATAATCGCTCAATACTGTTGATGCATTAGGCGGAAGACAATCGAACGTAAACAGCATGATAAATGCTGTTCAAGTTTACCAGAAATGCACGTGTATCGTGTTTATTAGAAAACTGATAAAGTCAACTTCCTGTGAAGCCAATTTCGTATCGTATTTTCAAGTTCAGAAAGCGTGATTATTTTTCTCTATGCTCTTGATATATAGGGAATTTATCTGGGGGTGCTTGTGTGGGAGAGCGATACCGAGGAATGAGATTTTATTTTGTTTTTTTTTTAAATGGATAATATGCAGGAGCAACTGGGAGATAGAGTGGATGATTACTTTTCTCTATGTTTTTGATATGTGGAGAGTTTTTCTGGGGAGAGATTGTGTGGGAGAACAATACCCAGGAATGAGATTTTTTTTATCATTCCCTAGGTAATCAACATCACGAATGATATCCACATGTACAAGAAACACTTCAATTTGACGGATCTCCAATTTGCAAATACTCTGTACGATGTCAGGGTTTTTATGAAGAGCGCTGTGGCTATTGGAGAGGATAAGTGGGGTCAATTCAGCGATGTCACGTTTAGAACACCACCGAGACGTGAGTTTTGTTGTATTTTTCATTTTTCGTGGTGATTTGGGAATTTAACTCCATCCGGAAGCCGTAGTAAATAAATTTAACTTCATGTGTTTCTTTTTTTAATGATATTAATGATATTATGATTTATTAATTGAAATTTGCAATTGATGATGAATTGAATATTTAATAATATGAGTCTATGAATTTTTCATTAAGTAAATAATTCTAATTCCTTAAAAGGGATTACCAATTGGCCAAATAATCGGCAATCTTCCTACCTAAATTATTGATCAGTAAAATAGTTCAGAATTTGAATATTTAAATTGATGATTACTAAAATAATTGAAAATTTAAGAGTGATCTTAACTAAACGACAGCTTCAAAATTTAATGATAATTATGATTTACGAGTACGGCTATCCCTGGGTAGTACTACGACCTGAAAAAATAGAAGAATTACAAATTTACATTGGCCGTGTTTTTTAAAGACAAACGATAAGATTCATGAAGTTTTTAAGCTTCTGGCGCAGAAATTAATTTTCAATTTGACACATATTTTATTTAAATACATTATGGTTAGGGCTGTCTATTTACATCTTTCCCTGACAGCTCCAATGAATTCATGATAGATTTTCTTATTGACTAGTTTTGATGTTTGACTAAATTATGCACCTGAAGAGGAATGCCTTGAGCATGCCAAACCTAGTGCAATCGAATTAGTAAATTTGCAATGAATTATTGCTGCTGAGCTGAACATGGCCCAAATGAATGTCAGCAATTTCAAAACAAATGGTCGAGAACAACAATTTCCGTTATAAGAAGTATAATGCTTATTTATAAAAAAAAATGCAATTGTCCGCTTGTTTTAAACTCTTCATTGCGCAAAAAAAAATGAAAATTTTCTTCGTCAGTACCTGGCCTGCCTCCACGCACGGACATCGGTAGTTTCGAGATAACCGAGAACAGTGCAAACAGGGATGTCTATTTGTACTGGAAATCGATTCCCCCGTATCTGGAAAACGGTGACAACTTCAGATACCAAGTGGCCCACGTGGAGGAGAACGGCAGAACATCGCTGATAGAGCCCAACGAAACAACCCGAACCTACGCCAAGTTCAAGGGCATCAGTTTCAACAGCTATCGATTTGAATTGGTTACGGCTAATGTCGTCGGTGCGAATCCAGAGAAAGCTGTCATCTTCGTACCGAGTCGCTTCGGGATACCGCGAGAGCCCCTGGCCTTCACGAAAATCGCATTTGAAGATGGATTGTACGAACTGTCGTGGAAGCCTCCTATAATGAATGCTGAGATCACCAATTACACGATCTTTTGGTGCGATAATGAACGAGATCGGCCATATCAGTGCACTGTGAGTATAGCATTCTTCCTATTCATCAACCCCAGAATAATTTCAATAAATTACATCTCATTTCAATGTCTTGAAAATAAAATCGTCAACTTATTGACGATTAAAATTACTTCATTCTCTTTTTCAGTAGAATTTTCAACTAGATATTCAATAATTTAAATCCTCGGGGTTCCCTCGATACAAAAATCAGATGAAGAGTACCAAATTTATATTAGTTTAAACAGAAAAAAAATCTATCCATCTTTATTGACTCAATATGTCCTGACCCAACGATTCAATTTCAATAAATCAAACCTCATTTAGAACCCTTTAAAAAACACTTCAAAATGGAACAAAAATCGTTAAAATTCACTCTGTCAGTCCCCACAAGAATACCAAATTTATATTAGTTTAAGCAGAAAAAAAATCCATCCATCCTTATTGACTCAATATGTCCTGACCCAACGATTCAATTTCAATAAATCAAACCTCATTTAAAACCCTTTAAAAAACACTCCAAAATGAAACAAAAATCGTGAAAATTCACTCTGCCAGTCCCCACAAGAATACCAAATTTATATTAGTTTAAACAGAAAAAAAATCCATCCATCCTTATTGACTCAATATGTCCTGACCCAACGATTCAATTTCAATAAATCAAACCTCATTTAAAACCCTTTAAAAAACACTCCAAAATGAAACAAAAATCGTTAAAATTCACTCTGCCAGTCCCCACAAGAATACCAAATTTATATTAGTTTAAGCAGAAAAAAAATCCATCCATCCTTATTGACTCAATATGTCCTGACCCAACGATTCAATTTCAATAAATCAAACCTCATTTAAAACCCTTTAAAAAACACTCCAAAATGAAACAAAAATCGTTAAAATTCACTCTGCCAGTCCCCACAAGAATACCAAATTTATATTAGTTTAAGCAGAAAAAAAATCCATCCATCCTTATTGACTCAATATGTCCTGACCCAACGATTCAATTTCAATAAATCAAACCTCATTTAAAACCCTTTAAAAAACACTCCAAAATGAAACAAAAATCGTTAAAATTCACTCTGCCAGTCCCCACAAGAATACCAAATTTATATTAGTTTAAGCAGAAAAAAAATCCATCCATCCTTATTGACTCAATATGTCCTGACCCAACGATTCAATTTCAATAAATCAAACCTCATTTAAAACCCTTTAAAAAACACTTCAAAATGAAACAAAAATCGTTAAAATTCACTCTGCCAGTCCCCACAAGAATACCAAATTTATATTAGTTTAAGCAGAAAAAAAATCCATCCATCCTTATTGACTCAATATGTCCTGACCCAACGATTCAATTTCAATAAATCAAACCTCATTTAAAACCCTTTAAAAAACACTCCAAAATGAAACAAAAATCGTTAAAATTCACTCTGCCAGTCCCCACAAGAATACCAAATTTATATTAGTTTAAGCAGAAAAAAAATCCATCCATCCTTATTGACTCAATATGTCCTGACCCAACGATTCAATTTCAATAAATCAAACCTCATTTAAAACCCTTTAAAAAACACTCCAAAATGAAACAAAAATCGTTAAAATTCACTCTGCCAGTCCCCACAAGAATACCAAATTTATATTAGTTTAAGCAGAAAAAAAATCCATCCATCCTTATTGACTCAATATGTCCTGACCCAACGATTCAATTTCAATAAATCAAACCTCATTTAAAACCCTTTAAAAAACACTCCAAAATGAAACAAAAATCGTTAAAATTCACTCTGCCAGTCCCCACAAGAATACCAAATTTATATTAGTTTAAGCAGAAAAAAAATCCATCCATCCTTATTGACTCAATATGTCCTGACCCAACGATTCAATTTCAATAAATCAAACCTCATTTAAAACCCTTTAAAAAACACTCCAAAATGAAACAAAAATCGTTAAAATTCACTCTGCCAGTCCCCACAAGAATACCAAATTTATATTAGTTTAAGCAGAAAAAAAATCCATCCATCCTTATTGACTCAATATGTCCTGACCCAACGATTCAATTTCAATAAATCAAACCTCATTTAAAACCCTTTAAAAAACACTCCAAAATGAAACAAAAATCGTTAAAATTCACTCTGCCAGTCCCCACAAGAATACCAAATTTATATTAGTTTAAGCAGAAAAAAAATCCATCCATCCTTATTGACTCAATATGTCCTGACCCAACGATTCAATTTCAATAAATCAAACCTCATTTAAAACCCTTTAAAAAACACTCCAAAATGAAACAAAAATCGTTAAAATTCACTCTGCCAGTCCCCACAAGAATACCAAATTTATATTAGTTTAAGCAGAAAAAAAATCCATCCATCCTTATTGACTCAATATGTCCTGACCCAACGATTCAATTTCAATAAATCAAACCTCATTTAAAACCCTTTAAAAAACACTCCAAAATGAAACAAAAATCGTTAAAATTCACTCTGCCAGTCCCCACAAGAATACCAAATTTATATTAGTTTAAGCAGAAAAAAAATCCATCCATCCTTATTGACTCAATATGTCCTGACCCAACGATTCAATTTCAATAAATCAAACCTCATTTAAAACCCTTTAAAAAACACTCCAAAATGAAACAAAAATCGTTAAAATTCACTCTGCCAGTCCCCACAAGAATACCAAATTTATATTAGTTTAAGCAGAAAAAAAATCCATCCATCCTTATTGACTCAATATGTCCTGACCCAACGATTCAATTTCAATAAATCAAACCTCATTTAAAACCCTTTAAAAAACACTCCAAAATGAAACAAAAATCGTTAAAATTCACTCTGCCAGTCCCCACAAGAATACCAAATTTATATTAGTTTAAGCAGAAAAAAAATCCATCCATCCTTATTGACTCAATATGTCCTGACCCAACGATTCAATTTCAATAAATCAAACCTCATTTAAAACCCTTTAAAAAACACTCCAAAATGAAACAAAAATCGTTAAAATTCACTCTGCCAGTCCCCACAAGAATACCAAATTTATATTAGTTTAAGCAGAAAAAAAATCCATCCATCCTTATTGACTCAATATGTCCTGACCCAACGATTCAATTTCAATAAATCAAACCTCATTTAAAACCCTTTAAAAAACACTCCAAAATGAAACAAAAATCGTTAAAATTCACTCTGCCAGTCCCCACAAGAATACCAAATTTATATTAGTTTAAGCAGAAAAAAAATCCATCCATCCTTATTGACTCAATATGTCCTGACCCAACGATTCAATTTCAATAAATCAAACCTCATTTAAAACCCTTTAAAAAACACTCCAAAATGAAACAAAAATCGTTAAAATTCACTCTGCCAGTCCCCACAAGAATACCAAATTTATATTAGTTTAAGCAGAAAAAAAATCCATCCATCCTTATTGACTCAATATGTCCTGACCCAACGATTCAATTTCAATAAATCAAACCTCATTTAAAACCCTTTAAAAAACACTCCAAAATGAAACAAAAATCGTTAAAATTCACTCTGCCAGTCCCCACAAGAATACCAAATTTATATTAGTTTAAGCAGAAAAAAAATCCATCCATCCTTATTGACTCAATATGTCCTGACCCAACGATTCAATTTCAATAAATCAAACCTCATTTAAAACCCTTTAAAAAACACTCCAAAATGAAACAAAAATCGTTAAAATTCACTCTGCCAGTCCCCACAAGAATACCAAATTTATATTAGTTTAAGCAGAAAAAAAATCCATCCATCCTTATTGACTCAATATGTCCTGACCCAACGATTCAATTTCAATAAATCAAACCTCATTTAAAACCCTTTAAAAAACACTCCAAAATGAAACAAAAATCGTTAAAATTCACTCTGCCAGTCCCCACAAGAATACCAAATTTATATTAGTTTAAGCAGAAAAAAAATCCATCCATCCTTATTGACTCAATATGTCCTGACCCAACGATTCAATTTCAATAAATCAAACCTCATTTAAAACCCTTTAAAAAACACTCCAAAATGAAACAAAAATCGTTAAAATTCACTCTGCCAGTCCCCACAAGAATACCAAATTTATATTAGTTTAAGCAGAAAAAAAATCCATCCATCCTTATTGACTCAATATGTCCTGACCCAACGATTCAATTTCAATAAATCAAACCTCATTTAAAACCCTTTAAAAAACACTCCAAAATGAAACAAAAATCGTTAAAATTCACTCTGCCAGTCCCCACAAGAATACCAAATTTATATTAGTTTAAGCAGAAAAAAAATCCATCCATCCTTATTGACTCAATATGTCCTGACCCAACGATTCAATTTCAATAAATCAAACCTCATTTAAAACCCTTTAAAAAACACTCCAAAATGAAACAAAAATCGTTAAAATTCACTCTGCCAGTCCCCACAAGAATACCAAATTTATATTAGTTTAAGCAGAAAAAAAATCCATCCATCCTTATTGACTCAATATGTCCTGACCCAACGATTCAATTTCAATAAATCAAACCTCATTTAAAACCCTTTAAAAAACACTCCAAAATGAAACAAAAATCGTTAAAATTCACTCTGCCAGTCCCCACAAGAATACCAAATTTATATTAGTTTAAGCAGAAAAAAAATCCATCCATCCTTATTGACTCAATATGTCCTGACCCAACGATTCAATTTCAATAAATCAAACCTCATTTAAAACCCTTTAAAAAACACTCCAAAATGAAACAAAAATCGTTAAAATTCACTCTGCCAGTCCCCACAAGAATACCAAATTTATATTAGTTTAAGCAGAAAAAAAATCCATCCATCCTTATTGACTCAATATGTCCTGACCCAACGATTCAATTTCAATAAATCAAACCTCATTTAAAACCCTTTAAAAAACACTCCAAAATGAAACAAAAATCGTTAAAATTCACTCTGCCAGTCCCCACAAGAATACCAAATTTATATTAGTTTAAGCAGAAAAAAAATCCATCCATCCTTATTGACTCAATATGTCCTGACCCAACGATTCAATTTCAATAAATCAAACCTCATTTAAAACCCTTTAAAAAACACTCCAAAATGAAACAAAAATCGTTAAAATTCACTCTGCCAGTCCCCACAAGAATACCAAATTTATATTAGTTTAAGCAGAAAAAAAATCCATCCATCCTTATTGACTCAATATGTCCTGACCCAACGATTCAATTTCAATAAATCAAACCTCATTTAAAACCCTCTAAAAAACACTTCAAAATGAAACAAAAATCGTTAAAATTCACTCTGCCAGTCCCCACTTATCGACGACTAAATTTCCTTAATTTTCATTTCCGAAGAATTTTAAACTAAAAATTGAATAATATGAATCCTCAGGGTTTCCTCGACTGGGTGCACGTCTCCTCCTCAACAACAATCTACAACATGACAGTCCCCGACCCCCAGAAGGTCTACCAATTCGCAATATCCGCGAATACGAAGCACGCCTCGAGTGGAATGGTGTGGGCCTCCTGCACAGTGATCCACAACAAAGTCGTAGGCAAGATGAAATCAGTCTGGATAAATCGAATAGGCTCGGACTTCATAGAAGTCGGTTGGAAGCTCGAGTGCTCCGACCGCATAGGCATCGTCGAGGGCTTCAACATCTACTACTGCCCGATAATAACCCCCTACAACCTCAACTGCAAGGGTCCAAAGCTGAACACAACAATCAGGGCTGATCCCCACACGATTCACGGCACGGTGACAGGATTGAAACCCTACACGACCTACATGATATCAGTGGCTGTTCTGACGAAGAGTGGAGAGGGCCTGCACAGCGATGCCCTCTACAACACGACGATGGAGGCTGCACCGACACCTCCACGCAACGTAGTCATCTCCAATGTCACCAACTCGACGATGTTGGTCTCCTGGGAGCCCCCAGCAGCTATGAACGGAGTCCTGCGGTATTACGAGGTCCACTACAGTGGAAATGTCGAACAGGTGGGGAATGAATTTTTTTTTACTGCTTTCACTGCATTTCGGAGGAAAATATCAAATTTTTTTAGCACCAACTCAGTTCGCTCTACGAAAAAGATTGTGACAAGTTATAATCTTTCCATAATTATTCACAAATTCCCTAATAATCCTAAACAAAACATCATTAAATTTCACAGAAATTAATCAATTCAGTAGCGAAGTGGCCATACGGTTTAAGTTAATTTTGATTATTGGCCAGTTTTCAATGGATATCTCGGAATCTAAGGAAGATAGCAATATTTTGGCAATAAACTTTTTTGTAGAGCCGATTGAGAGCTACAAAAAATATAATAACGATAATCTCGCTATCTCCATTAAATTCGTAAATATTCCTCAAAAACTGAACTGAGAGATAAGTCGACTTGAACCGTTTTACCACTTCGCTACTGAATTTTAAATAGAGTCATTCATATTTTCATGAGTCGATGCATAGCATCACGATTTAACCCCAAGATGAATAACCCCCGAAATTTGTTTTTCAATTGTATTCTAAAAAATTTATTTTTCAAACTCCCCCAGGTGGAGGAATCGACGCACGTCCAGTTGAAGGATCTCCTGGCCTTCAAGAACTACAGCATCTACGTGACAGCCTGCACAGTTTCCTGCAGTTCAGGTTCCTCAGTAATCCGCACCCAGACCGGAATAGGTCTTCCAGGGAAGATAAACCGAGTTCCCATAGTCCGCTTCATAAACTCGAGTCAAGTCTCAGTGGTGTGGAGCAAGCCGGCAAACCCCGGAGGCAATCTCGAGTACTACCAGGTAGCCTCGAAGTACGGTGACATCCAGAACAGCACGAGAATCCAGTCGAGCATTCCAATACCCGACTGCAAGACCGAGGGGAGAAATACATTGCACGAGTTCACAGTGAGAGCTGTTAACATTGCGCCCAATGGTGTACACCTCTACGGTCCGTGGTCAGAGGCTGGCTCTGGGAATTGCTACAGTGATGGGCCATCCTCGATGATTCTCGTCATCATCTGGGTGATTGGTGTCGTTGGATCGATTGCCTTCATGTTCTGCCTGTTCTACACATCGAAGAGGGTCTGGCTCAAGTACAAGGTAATGCAGGATGTGGAGGTGCAGTTGCCGCCGGGTTTGGCTGGTGAAAAACTCCTCCAGAAAGTTGCTGAACAGCACATCAGGCAGTCGTCAGCTGACTCGAGTGGCTGCTCAAGTGGACAGGAGTCTGTGACGTCTTCCCTCACATCGGACTCACACGTGTCGACCGACAGTGGCACGGAAATTGATCCAGTTGTGTCATCGAATAAATTGCTGGAGTCAACGACAACCTGGGAGTCCTCGAGCCTTCGCCAGAGGAATGTGGGGACAATGAGACCCAGTGGGCAGCCTGATTCAGCCAGATGGGATTCTTACGTCAAGGTGTCCAAGCCTGGAGAGACTGTTGTCGATGATAATTTATCGTTGGCTCGATCAACCCCCAATCTCACTGACTCCTCTGGCTTCATGATGCCTCAGCACACCTGGTCATCCACTGGCTACATCAGCATGCCCTCGTCAGAGGAATTATCCAATAATCCCAGCCCTGTGCCCAAGGATTCCAATGTAGGGGGCTACAGTGTCGTGGGATTGCTTCCAAAATCGCGAGATAAAATCGACAGTTACTCCCAATTGTCCAGTAATTTAGCAGAGGCTAAACCAGCAGCACCTTACGTCAGTCTGGCCTCGCTGGAGGCGAAGCCACGTGAGAAGAAAATCCTTAATAATGTCAAGAACTTGACCAAGTTCATTGATCCACCAAATGTCGAGACACCTTACGTGCAAACTGGACTGATTGATAAATCTATTTCATCGACATCCAGAAAAGCCGAGGTGATGAAGCCATACGTTGCAGTGGGAGCTCTTCCAGATGCTGATAAAAAGGGAAAATTGGTTAAGGATGAGAGGAAACAGCCTCAGGTCCCGGGGACAATTGATGCCAGCACAAAGCCCTATGTTCTAGCTTCTCCAGTGTTCAATGTACTTCACAAGAGTGATGAGGGGGATGAGACTGTTGTGGAGGAGTCACACGAGGATTCATTGTCCTCGGAGTATGGAATGTTCTGGGAGCCAGGGGAGAGCAGAACAGACAGGCGGGACGAGCCGGAGGTGAAGAGCTCTGGTTACGTTGCTGTCAGGGATCTGCAGAAATCCGAGCACCAGGGAATGGCTAAAGTGGCTGGTGGCTTTGGACAGAAGGTGGAGAAGCCCTCGGCAACTGGGGCTGATGAACAGTACAGCAAAGTCACAGTTGCTCCTCACAATATGCAGTGAATTTTACTGGGTGAATGGGTCAGGGGTAGGGATGAAGCGTATCTGTGACACGACATTGAATTCTTTTAGGTATGTTGTATGCACCTGATTATTTTCTGTCGTATTAATGTCGATCTGGGGTTTGTGTGTCCATGACGACGATTTGTAGGGAGCCTCGTCAACAGACTGATTAATTTTCTTATTCTTTTTTGTTTCGATGATTAACGAGGCTGCGAGGCACGTGTTTTTGGTGGGCCGTGGGATTTGGGGGGCTTCTGGGGTTTGGGGGATTCAGATTTGAGGTTTTGTTCTGGAATTGTAGGAATAATTGTTGAGGGACTGACTAATGCTTCTCTTAAGGGGAAACGGAATCCTTCTGTCTATATGAATTTTTTGAGTCATGTTGTCGTCTGCATTTATTAATTTATATCTATGAAATTAGTTCATCGACTCGATCATTCCAGTGCTGAGGCAGTGAAGTAGTTTCATTAATAAAAAATAATAAATGCAGGAAAAAACAATCCTGAAAGTTCATGTAGACAAACAAAAGGTTAACGAAAGGTTTCTAGACATTTCCTTCGAAATCACTGATTAACGAGACTAGTGATAAATTGAGATCTCAATTATTCAACTGGCAATTGAATTTTTCGAAGTTTTAATTCTCTATTTACCTCGAAATTACGAGATTTTCGACTAAAATGTCATCAAACCTTTTTACAAAGATAAAAAAATCAACACATTTCACCACTGAATCCATAAAATGCCAGAAGCCCTCGATAATTTCCTCATTTTTTTCGTTTCCTCAAAAAAAAAATAATCCCAAAACATTCATTAAACGTCCATCCAATGAATCCGGGATTAACTTATCGTGATGAACGATATGATCGACAATTACACTAGATACTCGTTCCCAATAATTGTAACGAAATGAAAAAAAAGAAGTGAACACCCGTGTACATGTACAAAACGAATGACTTTTGTATCATAAATATAATCGTGTTAACATTGACGTGAGTTGAGAGGTAAAAAAAAACAAATCATTTTAACGATTAATTAAAAATGTATAAGATTTAACTAGAGCGTAAGAGTAGTGTTTAATCACTCATCAATCAGATTCCGCACACTTATTCGACAGGCGTTATTGGATACGAGCCGTTTAGTTACTTGAATAATTAGTACCTAGTTGAAATACCCACTCCCCGCATCTTATTTATCATCTCAATACCCACACTTGTTGTTATCTCTTAATAATCTCTTAAGACAGTTGTTAAATTTTCCTTCATCAACAAAATCAACGCGAGAATATCGGCTTGGGTATTTTTGAGAATGTCTTCTGTGCTTTTTTTATTACTTCAATGTCTGTTTTCACGTGTGGAAAACATTTAATGGACACACCTGACGCTTTCTTCAACCAATTCTGTTGAATTTCTATTTGTTTTTTGTACCAATTCTTTTAAAAATTATGCAACTCTCCTGGGCATTTTAAATAGCCATTTTCTCATTAAAAAAATCTTCATGGACATTTTTTTATATGACACATTCTGCTGGAATTTTTTTCTCTGAGAATCCTTGGACAGGATTTTTCTGTTTTTTGGTTTTATCATCAGAAAAAAATCGGCGGAAAAAATATACATTTTCTTATGGAAAATAGTCTGGGCTAAAAATTCTTGGGCATGAATTTCCCAAGTTTTAATCGAATATCTGTCACCAAAGGGTCACGGAAATGTCGCATTATCTTCAATAGAATTGGCGCAAAAACAAATAGAATTTTTTAATAGAATTCCAGTAGAAATTCAATAGCATTTCTTGAGAAAAGCGCTAGGTTTTTCCGTAAATTCATTTCGTGTCTTCGTCAATTAGTAATGCAAGTGAGAGATGTGCAATTGAAAGATGAAAAAACACAATTTTTATCGTTAATTCACCACTGAAATAGCATATTACGAACAACGAAGACTCTTTTCAAATACTGAGGGATAATAGTATCGTGTTAATGCCATTGAAACGTTTAAACTGATGGAAATTGAGGAAAATAAGTGCATATCTGCATAATATAATAAGCTAGTCACTGAGAGGATTCATCAGTCTACGTAACAGGTCCTTCATTTACGGAAAAAAGTGAATAGTGTTGATGGAATTTGAAGAAAAAAAAAATCATGTTTTGAAATTTCAATGGGGTACCGCATGTAGCCTTTATCAAGGTATAATATTCATCTTTTATTTATAATTCAAATGATAATGCCGATAAACTTACCACGTCCACATGATTTGACTAATTCGCCGGAGACTGACGTATTGCTTAAGGCTATAATCATTAAATGACATGAACCATGATTTTTTTTTGCACTGAATTGAGAAATTTCTGGCCTTTGGAGGATAAATTGTGTTACAAAACGGTGGAGAATTGATGCATCAATTTATGGAATTCATTTTCCCACTGGAAGGATGAGGAGGAGTGAACTTCTTCAGTCGATATCTCTCGAACAAACGATGCGATTTGAACGACTCTCGTGTCATTTTAAAGTTCACGAAAATACCTTCAGAATGAAAAAAAAATCGTTGAATTCGACTCTGCCGATCTCGAGATATTGACGAAGGTGTTCATTTGAGGCCCCAAATTCAGCTCAATGAGAAGTGAATTCCAGGTGCGTCGGGAATTTAATGAGAAATCGAATGAAAGTGCCTAGTTTTTACGTCAATAGAGAGTGGTAATGGGTAATAAACCTTATGGTAACATGACATATATTCTCATGAAGAAAAAAAAATTCACTCGTGAATATGCAACATCGAGCAATTGTAAATGTGTTGCGGTAATAAAAGAGCGATGATTATTGTTCGCACCTGTTCTCATTTATTCGTTAAAATTAATCGTATGAAAAAAATTCTAGACTTTATCCACGAGAATCAATTTTACTGTGCCTATTGATACATAGAGAAAGGGTGGAAAGTGAAAACGATATAAATGAAGAAATTGAAGATTTATATTTCGAGAGAGGGGGCTCATTTACAGAAACGAAAAGATGCAACATCAGGTTCAAAAAGTATATCGTAAGTTTTATAGATTTTTCATTGTATATAGGTCGTATTATCATATATTTTTGTTATATATTTATAAATAAAAACAAAAAAAAATGTTAATGTATAATTGCACATTAAAATATACTAGATTGATGGAATAAATTAAGGATAGATGATAATTAAATTCCAATGGTTTTTGGAGGTTTTCATTAGAATAATTAAAACAACAACAAATCGCAGTTGTTAGAGGAACGAATTCCGTAGATATATCAGCGTTTGAATTATCCTTGATTGAAGAAATAATAGAGAAAAAGTGAAATCGTGATTGTGTTAACTTCAGTGCAATGTTCCCTGATTATCTTGTGTACATAGTTTTAATACTTTTAGCCTATTGTCCCCTTTATTTGCTAGAGAGATTGCCCTACTGAAAATTCATGGATTCACTGAACATCATTCAGCAATCAAAAATACAAGGAAAATAATAGTTGAGGGTATTTTTTTCTGCCACAAGTTTGAATATTGTACAGAATCTTGTACATTGTAATATATGTTTCAACTGCATATTCTTTTCCCCCTTGAATTTATTATTTATTTTTTTGTTCACAAAGTAAGGTCTGTTCATCATCATTGTGTTTCTGAAGTATCGTTTTAATCCATTTAATTAGATCGTAATTATCCAATAACGTTTTTAACTGTTAGAAAAAACCACTCAAGGTGCGCCATGAAAAACCTTGCCATCTCGTCTATGTTCTTATATTTCTATTTATAATAATACATTTTTATAATGAAATACTCATTCATCAATAAAGTTATAAGGTTTAACTCAATTTAAGGAGAGAAAATATATTATCTGCAGTAATGTACTTGATTGTTTAATTAATTGCTTTTTCAATTTCGTTAACTCAATTCCTCCATCGGATTTATTAAATTTACGGATTTACGTTTGATATTTATAATGTTTCGTGGTATGTGCAGTCTCCAGCGAGAGAATTGCCAATTCAATTCAGTTAGAGTGATGTTTGTGTGGTGATAATAGGTGGCACGTCTTTTCGACGAGACATTTCAACTGATTTTGTTTTAATGCTAAATTTCGGCTGTATTTAGTGCATTTTGCAACTTGTACTTCTGTTTTTAGAGTTTTTGCTTCCGAAGGAAAGCATTGGATTCGTCAAATCCTAAATTTACAATTTTTTATGTCAGGATAACCAATTTCGGCCTCAGGAGTTCGAATTTGGTATTTTTAGATCATTTAAATGAATCCAATTGGGATTTAGAATATTCTTTTTAATGCCATCTGTTGAAAAAAATATTTTGAAACCAATATTCAGGGAAAGGTAAAAAAAATTAAAATTGGGGTAAGGTTGGCTATGGTGAATAAATGAAAATGACCTGAAATGTCTCCAATTGAAAAGACACGCATAAATAAATGCAACTGATAATTTTGTTCAATGATAATCATGCTGTCGTTTTTATTCACAAATATCTCGTTACAAAAATACCATCATTGTTGTTCGATCTATTTTCTTGTTTCACTTCGAATTCATCAGTGCATTAACCATGAATAGAAATAAAACAAAATTCTCCCACATATTCTCTCACATCTATGGAATTTCATTCAGAAAAATAACAATTTTGGTGATCAATTCCAGTCCCGGTGACACTTCCAGGTATGAAATAATCTAGAAATACTGATCTCGCTTCGTCAAGGCATTCTCATCATGTTTTCATTAACAATTTAGGCCCATGTGCATTACCTGTTCAACCTAATCTATTTTATTTTCAATTGTTTCCGTGATTATGTTGAATTTTCTTACAATCTATGTATGAACTATAAATTATTGACTTGATTTGTGTCCCTGAAATTGAATACTATGGCTCATACTGTTACTCTCGTACCTGAGGCCATTCCCAGCACTGATAGCCTGTCACAATTTCCATCTATCCAATTCGTTTCACGAGTAACTGCATATGGAAAATTTAATGAGTTTCCTTTGACTCTTCACAACCGAGATATTTTTACAACTTCTCTCAATGTGCATGAGCAAATTAATTTAGTCGTTTGTCTTCAACAGTTCATTCAATGGAACACAACTACGTATGTTATTTCTATCGTAAAATATTTTATTGCATCAGTTGTTGATAGTGGGGAATTAAATACTTTCGGGGGCTTTTAATGAACGAAGTAATAAGAGGAGTGGAGAGATGCCCCCATCATGTGGTTCAATAGCATTATGTATGGAGGAGTCCATCGAGAAATTAATTTCGGCGAATAAATTTTTCTCAAACATTTTTCTCTGCTGAATATCTCGCAATTGGAGGGAGATAGCCGAATTTTCGTCAAAATCATTTTTGTGGGAAATCTCAAGAGCAACAAAAAAGGTCCTCTCAAAAATGTGGCTATCCCCTCTGGATTCGGAGATATTCACCAAAAACTGCGGAAGGATTTAATTCCCCCACTTGATTACTGAATAGCTTAATCACTCTACATATGAATTAATTAAAAAACAGATTTCACGAGAATGGGGGAATCGACGGTAGCATCTTATTCGTGAAGAGATGCCATCGTTATGTTCAATTGCATTAAATAACTCGAATTAAGAGAATTGTTGGAATACTTGAAGGGGAACTACTATGCGATATTCATCAGTTTTATGTACACCCGCAGCTTTCCCAGGGAATCTATACTGTGCGGTCTCGATTAATCTCCACTGTATACTTTGATTGGCTTCGATAACATGATTATTTTATTCACTGAACGAGTCATGTATCGATTAGTCCATCGACAACTTTTCTATTGAACAATTCAGTGGCAAAACGAGGTGAATAATGTTTCTAAAACATTCCTCTTTGCTGAATATCTCGGAATGGGAGGGAGATAGAGAAATCTTTGTAGAGATCATTTTTCTAGGGAATTTCAAGAGCTACAAGAAAGGTCCTCTCGAAAATGTTGCTAACCCCTCTGGATTCTGAGATATCCGTCAAAAACTGCGGTAGAAAACTACTGAATTGTTCAATCACTCTGCAATTCCGTTGATGAAAAAACAGATCTCACGATTCATCATCTTCATCTACAAACAGTGAAATTTCGATGGCACTTCCAATTGTAAAAACTATATGCTCTACAGGTAAATCGATTGAAATAGGAATACGAAATGAAAAAAATCGCATTGTCGCATGCGATTTCCGACGTTTTGTCTGCAGTCGATCGATGGAAGTAACTCAACGCTCATGTTCACCTAGTAACTGAAACCGATTAAATGGAAGCCAGGTGAGTTGTTTGTACAGAGAAATGCAGTGAAAGGTAATATTGGTTACCGATAATAATTGGGCTTGAATGGGCCGGCTTTGTTGAGGCCCATGTACTTCGCCTGCTCATCCGTGAGTTCCGTCAGGTGAGCGTCGAATGTCGGCAAATGTAGAGATGCCACGTATTCATCTGTGGGATAAAACAATTCGTCACATTTACGAGTGATTTTAGAAGGAAATGTGAATTTCTCAATACTCGCACATATAATGAAAATATAATGAAAAATATTGACACATTACTAGCTATTAAGCAAAAAATATGTATCTGCGGTGTAAATATTGGTGAAAATAATACTCGTGCCGATCTCTGGTTTAAACATTAACCATTGCAGAAGAAAAAAAAATTTCTCAATTTTTTTTTTCAGAAATTTGTTAATAATTTCAAAAAACAATTGCCCACTGCTCACCCATTTTCTTAGGCAGTAAATAAACATCACTCTTGTAACGTCCCGGCGGTGCATTGAATAATTCAATAAGTGCTAATGCCTGAGTGGCGGCTGTGATGGACACGACGAACGATGGAATACTTGAGCAGGAGAGATTGACGAGGCGGCCTTCAGCCAGGAGCACAATTCTCTTGCCATCAGGCCAAATAACGTGATCCACCTGTGACCGGACTTTCTCCCAAGTCAAGTCTGGAGTTCTTAAGCTATTCTGTTATGATAAAACACAAAGCACTCGTCAATGCCACTGGATTGTTGACTAAATAAGGACAATAATTCGCGATGACGAACGTACAATATCAATTTCGGTGTTACTGTGCCCCATGTTGCACACGACACAGCCGTTTTTCATCTTGTCCATGTGCTCGCGAGTCACAACGTTTTTATTGCCAGTGGCTGTTATAACGATATCCACATTTCTTATTACCTCGTTCAGCTTCATCACACGAAAACCATCCATACTGAAATTGAAAATTCGATTGCGTGATTAAAACAACACGGATGACAAAATTTAGAGAAACTAAACTCAAGTTAGTGTTTTATTGAATTCATAAATGAATAATAATAGAATGAATACTAAACAACACGGATGACAAAATTTAATAAATACTACACTCAAGTTAGCGTTTTATTGAATTTATAAATGAATAATAATAGAATGAACACTAAATAAACAACACGGATGGCGAAATTTAATAAAAACTACACTCAAGTTAGTGTTTTATTGAATTCATAAATGAATAATAATAGAATGAACACTAAATAAACAACACGGATGACAAAATTTAATAAAAACTAAACTCAAGTTAGTGTTTTATTGAATTCATAAATGAATAATAATAGAATGAATACTAAACAACATGGATGACAAAATTTAGAGAAACTAAACTCAAGTTAGTGTTTTATTGAATTTATAAATGAATAATAATAGAATGAATACTGAACAACACTGATGACAAAATTTAATAAAAACTAAACTCAAGTTAGTGTTTTATTGAATTCATAAATGAATAATAATAGAATGAACACTAAATAAACAACACGGATGACAAAATTTAATAAAAACTAAACTCAAGTTAGTGTTTTATTGAATTCATAAATGAATAATAGTAGAATGAATACTAAATAAACAACACGGATGACGAAATTTAATAAAAACTAAACTCAAGTTAGTGTTTTATTGAATTCATAAATGAATAATAGTAGAATGAATACTAAATAAACAACACGGATGACGAAATTTAATAAAAACTAAACTCAAGTTAGTGTTTTATTGAATTCATAAATGACTCTTAATAAAATGAATACAAAATAAGGAAATTAAGGTAAAGTTTAATGAACATATGTTTCAATCTCATATTTTAATCACGAGCTACTGCAGCTAGAGTCATATTATTTCGGACAATAAATAATTGCTTTATCTCATGAGATAGTTAAATTGCGCCATAAGTTATCTAGAACAAATTCCATTCATTAATAAGTGTTGGTGATTATTGGTCATCAGGTTTTGGTTATTGTTTTTTTAAGGTATTCATAGTTACGTTTATTTAAAATTCACTTTTCTCGGAGAAAATATTTGTTTCGAAGACGTAATCATCCATTTTTTATCGATCAATAATTGAGATATTCCAAGGGGATTGAAATAATGAAAAAAAATATATATAAATATATAATAATTATAAATATTATAATATAATATTATTATATTATGATGATTATAATAATTATATATATATTATTATACACATAATTACTATAAATATTTTTTTTTAATATTGATTTCCAAAGAAAATAAGAAAAAGATTTCTACGCAAAGATTATCCTTGTTCCTAAGCTTAAGGATATCCCTGACGAAATAAATTGCTGACACAAAAGGTGGCGTCAATTGTTTTAAAAAGGAACTGTAGTGCTTTCTCACAGAAATTATATTGAATTTCTTTTGGAACTTATTCTGTTGGCAATGTTTCTACAAGAATCATTGGGCCTGATTTTTCCAGTTTTAATAATATGGTGAATATTACTAAAACATTCTGTTCTTCTAATCTCTTTTGAATTGCTTGAAAAATTTCTCCTGAAGTCGAATTAAAGTTGTTAATAATGCAATCTCACCTAGCTTGCAACGCACAGATGGGATCAATCTCCGTGATATAGACGATGCACCCAAGACCTTTGAGTGCCTGACAGCAGCCTTTACCCACCTCCCCATACCCGCAGATGACGACTTGCTTTCCCCCAAACATGACGTCTGTGGATCTCTTCAAACTGGAGTGGAGGGACAGTTGAAATGAAAAATTTAATTTATTCAATTAGAAGTCTGTCGTGAGTTGGTAAACTAGGGTAATTGCACAAATTGATGGGAAACGATTTAACAAAAAAAACACATTTTCGAACCAATGCAGTTCTCCCAATTTACGAATTGACCAGAGAAAAGTGGAACTTATAATGGGATAAATTATTCACCTGTCGATAATGCTCTCTCGACAGCTGTAGAGATTATCAAACTTGGTTTTCGTGACACTATCGTTGACATTCATAGCTGGAACCGAGAGCTTTCCGGCCTTGGAGAGCTGATAGAGCCTGTGAACACCGGTGACACTCTCTTCGACGATACCTGAGGGCATTTATCAACTTTGTTATGAAGACACGTATAACTTTTACAGAAAAATTTTGTGAATTCGGTAGAAAATTCTGTTGGATTTCTATTCATTTTTCATTAGTTTTTGGCGAATTCTATAGGAAAATTTCACAGCTTGGAAGAAATCAATAGAACTAGCTTTTTCTATACAATTTATTTTATATGAATATGGGGTAACCAGCTGATTCTTTTATTGAATATTGGTGAATTTTTTAATCGGACTTTTATCACATAAAAATGGCAGATGACTACATACCACTGTTCTGAAAATTGAGATACCTAGCTGTCACTTCCCATGAGGAGTTATTTTGTTATCCGCCATGGAAAATGACAGCTAATAGATAATTTGCCACAGCAAATCAGATATTTGTAATTTCCCCTTTTTTCAACTCATTCTGAATCTCAATTAAAAACTCTCTTTGAAAAAGTTCAGAATTTTTTCTATTTTTTTCATCATTCTATCATAAGTTTTGGGAATTTCTACATGATGTACCACTTAATTGACAATTTTGAATTATGAAAGATAAAAAAAATCCAGATATCATTCGAAAAAAATTCAGATATCATTCGAAAAAAATCCAGATAACATTCGAAAAAAATCCAGCTAACTTCGCCACTGAATTTTTTTATCGAATTCGCTATTTCGCTGAACCCTGGGGAATCACCTTGAATCATCTTGAACATGGCATTGTACTTCTTCAGCATGAGATGCGTGGCGTCTCCCCCGTCATCCAGGATCATATTGGGCTGCCAATTTTCAGCTGCTATGCACTTGTCGATGCACCACCAGAAGTCCTCCTCGGTCTCCCCTCGCCACGCGAATATGGGGTAACCAGCTGATGCCAGTGCAGCAGCGACTTCATTCTGGGTTGAATATATATTGCAAGCGGCCCATCTCACTTGTGCTCCAAGCTCCACCAGGGTTTCAATAAGCACGGCTGTCTGAGCGTTTATGTGTGTGCAGCCCACGATCTTGGCGTTTTTCAGGGGCATATCATCAGCAGCTCTCTTCCTCAATGCCATGATCCCCGGCATCTCCTGCTCGGCAATTTCAATCTCCCGCCTCCCGAAGGCATGTTGTCCGATATTCCGGACGCAAAAATCCGTGAAGCCCTTGTCTGTCTTCTGGATTTTCTCCCGGGGGGACACGTCGTCCTCGTCCGATGAGCTTCCTGTGTAAGATGCTGAGGTTCACCAGACGTATGAAAATTTATCGATTAGTCACTCAGCATGATCTACAGATGAGTTACAATGATCCCTCATTCATGAACTCTACGTGATCGATCATTTGGGAAATGGTGGAGGGAGGGGGGAGTACGACTAAAGCACAACGGAACACGTACCAAAAAATTTTAATAGAAAAAACTGGCGAATTCTGGGGGAAGGTCTATTGGGGTTCTATTAAACATCCTGTTGTAGTTTGTGGCCGATTGTTTTATAGAAAAAATGTGCGGAATTAAGTTTTCTAGTCGGACGTTTTCTAGAGGAAGTTCTCGACATGAAATTCCTATATTTTTTCTATTATATTGTTCTTCCCTTTAAAAAAATCGAAGAGAAAAACTGGGAAAATCTGAGAAGAGGAATTTCGATAGAAAAAATATCTCAATAGAATAAGTTCTGTAGAAAAATTTAGTAGAATTTCATTTTTCTAGACAACTTTTTCTATTCTGACATTTTCTAGAGGAATTCCTCGATATGAAATTCCTATATTTTTTTTATTATGTTGTTCTTCCTTTAAAAAAATCAAAGAGAAAAACTGGGAAAATCTGAGAAGAGGAATTTCGATAGAAAAAATATCTCCATAAAATGGGGTGTATGAAAAGATGGAATTCCATTGATTTTTTCTACATAATACTTATACAGAATACTCATCGAACATTTCTGCTATAAAAACGCGCAGATAGTCTATGGAATAGTCAATAGAATTGTCCAAAAACTACTGGAAACGCAATAAAATTTCCTCGCAAATTCCCTAGGTTTCCCAATTAAATTTTTTTGTACGTGAACTCAATCGCAGAGAAATGTTCTCTCTATTCTCCTACCGGAACTGTAGCTGTCATTGCTGCTTGCTGATAACGAGCGACTCCGGTAACGGCTGGACTTCTTCAAGGCCCCGGACTTAGATTCCTACGAGGTATTCACCAATTCTTCGATTTAATTTTGTTTCTTTAGTAGTCGAGGTGATGTAGGGAGCTGAGATTGCCATGAATTTTTTAAATTGACTACAAATTAAAAATAATGCGTGTTGCACTAGGGTTCTACGTGCACTGGGAAGACATGGGTGTCGAAAAAATGGGCAACAGTGCAATTGCAGAGTTCGAATTTAACTGAATTCGAAGGGAAACGAGGTGATTCGCTCAATCCCAAGTTCAGTTTTTGATGAATATCTCGGAAACTGATGGGGATATGCATAAAAAACTAATTGGGGAGCACAATTGATTCATCTCGTTTGTCATTCCACTTTCTGATGGATCTGATAACTTCATTTATTGGCAAACAATTATTTATGATTAATTATCTGGCTAAGGATCACTTCAGGGAGTTGTGAATCCGAATGAAGATGTATTCTCACAGACGAAAAAATTTCACAGAAAAACCTAGGGAATTCGATTGCAAATTCTGTAGGATTCCCCTTGAACTTCTATCAGTTTTTTTGTGGATTCAATTTCTATAGAATTTCTATAAAAAATGTCCAATAGAAACAATTTTTACAGAAAAAATCTGGAGAAATTTTCTGCAGAAAATATTTTAATAGAATAAGTTGTATGAAAAATCAAATTTTGTTGATTTTTCTTATCGAATATTTTCCATTGGACACTTCTATTCGAAAAAATCCAACAGAAAATTCAATAGAAATACAACAGAATTTCCCAGTGAATTCGCTCGGTTTTCTCATGAAATTTCTTCGCACGTGTTATAAATGACGAATTCAGTATTCTGTACTGAAGATGATAAACTGAATAAACGCGAAATCAAACTCTTCAGTATGAAAAATTTACTATTTTAAATCGAGTCTCCATGCCCACGGGCACGAACATCATAACGATAAAAAAAAATAAACAAATATCTTGATCAAGATTTTTTCATGTAAAAATGTCGTTAATCTCAAGAAATGAAAACAAAGCAATCCTCAAGGATAGCGAGCATACATCTACATATGCAAATAAATGAAGATAATTTTGTTATTTGCTCATTGTAATTAATATTTTGCTGCATTTTAGTTATTTTCTCATACACAAATAATTACTCTTACTTACTAATTTTGTTCTCGGGCCGTGAAAGGCATTATTTGATGCCTCTAGGCTCTGAAATCACAACAACCACAATATTTTCATAATTCAAGAGGGAATTTTATTAGTCGCTGTGGCCCAACTGAATGTTTCTCTCCAATTTCTCATTCACCGAGTGATGATTAACTACTTCACGCAGTGAATTCACCTTTTTCTGGGGACAACGTGTGAACTTTATGTCGTGCAGAGTCTGGGGTACTTTATCTACATCAACTATTGACTAAACTGCGGTAAAATAGTGATGCAGTGATTCTTATTCACAAGTTTACACGTGCTCTCATGAAAATAACGCTCTATATGTTTTCAAATAAAATAAGCGAGTTGATGTTCAACATGTTTTGGTTTTATTCAAGACTAGTGGCCATGCAGTAATCATGAGTTATCGAACATCGATATTTGGTCGATTAATGTCTGTTGTCAAGTGGTAAAACGAGGAATTTCAGGGAATTGGCTTCACTGAGATTTTTTATGGAGAAATTCATTCTCAAAGGAGAGTATCATCAACATTTCTATTTTATTTGTTCAGTCGCATGTTTACTCGCTCCGGTCCTCACATTTTGTTCTCTTCCTTTCAATGTTTAATACAGTTGTAAAAGGCCTGCTGATTTTTTAAGAGAAAGTAGAATTTTTTTTGGTAGAGAATGACATTTTTAACAAGAAATACTTTTTTAAAATTCTTTTTTGACAATTTTACAGTTGAATCGTATTATCAACATTTATAAATGAATTTGTTTATTTTGTAAAATATCGATTTAAAAAATGTTGAATCAAATTTTTTTAGAAAAGGATGAAATTTTAAACTGAAAAATATTCCCGTGAAATTTTCTTCTGAAATCGCTTGTTTTCCAAAAAACTAAAGATGCAACAGTTGAATCAACTCATTAAAAAACTAATTAAATATTTAAAAAAGAATCAATTTTTTTCCAAATTCCCAAAACTTTGTTTTTGTAAAAATGACATTTCTAAGAAGAGAATATCTCTTTGAAACTATTGTCTGCAACCCCTGTTTTGGAGACAATTAAAGACTCAACAATAGAGTTACCTAATCAACACGTGAAAATGAGTCCATTATTCCCGAGAACTGCTCATCTTCTAAGAAAATGTCAAACCTTTTATTTACAAAGAATGACATTTCCACCAAAAAAACCTCTCAAAATGCATCCATTTATTTTTTCTTCTGAAACCACTTGTTTTCGAGACAACTGAAGATGCAACAGTTGAATCACCTCATTAAAAAATTAATTAAACATTTAAAAAAGAATCAATTTTTTTCCAAATTCCCAAAACTTTGTTTTTGTAAAAATGAAATTTCTAAGAAAAGAATATATCTTTGAAACTTTTGTCTACAACCCCTTGGTTTGGAGACAATTAAAGACTCAACAATAGAGTTACCTCATCAAAACGTGAAAATGAGTCCATTATTCCCGAAAACTGCTCATCTTCTAAGAAAATGTCAAACCTTTCATTTACAAAGAATGACATTTCCACCAAAAAAAATGTGGCGCGAGCCACAATAGATTAATTTCTTGAATTTATTTCGTAGCGTCTCGAATATTCCAAACGTCGGAATCTGAGACAAACGCCATTCCGTCCTTGTCCCTCACGAAATTTCAGGACAATTCTCGAACCTTCGATAAACGAAGGTATATAAACTCGTACGCTCCCCGGCGGACTAAGTCAGTCTACTTTTGAGTACGCATGGAAACACTTGCCTTGAAATATACAGTTCTTGTGAACACCGAGTTATTATTCTTGATACCCGCACCAAACCGTCACAACTGGGGATCCCGACGTGATTGACGTGAATAGTTTTCTCGCGTTTTCTTTGATTATTAATTATATCACGTTAACGCCGCGACTGTTCCGCGAAATTCGAGTGCATTTCGATCATGCACTTTGTGAGTGGTTTGTGTGCCGCGTACGCTCGTGTGTTGTATCGTTCACGTGCTCCATTTGAGTTCTTTTCGTGAATTTCGGTGCACTGCTGAGCACCCAAGGACGCTGTGCTGCACTGATTATTTTTCAGACTTTCTCTAGTGTTGTTTTTCGCGAAACATAATGCCCGATAGTGTCGAGGTGCGCGAAACTGACAATGGAGCCCCGCTCCAACGCGTTTCGATACGATGTCCCACCTTCAATGCCGAACGTCCAGCGTTATGGTTCGCCCAGCTCGAGGGACAGTTTCATCTATCCGGGATTAACGATGAAGTAACGAGGTATTACTATGCCTCGTCTCATCTCGATCCCAAGGCCGCTGCTGAGGTGCAGGATATCCTTCTAAATGTGCCTGCCGAGACACCGTACACACGTCTCAAGGAGGCGCTCGTCGAACGCCTCACGCTCTCCCGGGACGCACGACTCCAGCAGTTGCTCGACCGAGAGGTATTGGGTGACAGGAAGCCCTCGCAATTTTTACGTCATCTCAGGAGTCTCGACGACACGGTTCCTGACAACATTTTACGCACCAAGTGGCTCAGCCGACTGCCGATGACGACGCAGTCCATCCTGGCGTCACAAGCGGACATGGCTCTCGACAGGCTTGCAACACTCGCCGACAAACTGCACGAGATCGCATTGCCGGTAGCCCACATCAATGACGTCCAGCAGCCAGCATCCCCAGCCCTCGAGACACTCTTTTCTCGTCTCGAAGCCACAATCTGCGAGCTGGCATCGGCCCTAAAAGGGCAAAGCGTCGCACGTTCTCGCTGCCGCTCTCCATCCCGTTCTCGAGCAACTTCGCCAGCACCCGACAACAACCAGTGTTGGTATCATCGAAGATACCGCGACAGGGCTAGACGTTGCAAAGCCCCTTGCTCGTGGCAGGGAAACGCCCCGGCGGATCGTTAGCGGCGGTTAACGTTCCCTCTTTCAAATCCAGCCGCCTCTTCGTAACCGATCGCGCCACCAAAATCCAATACTTGGTGGATACTGGCGCCGATCTTTGTACATTTCCGAAATCTCTCGCTCCTGGAGCAAAGAAACGAGTTAACTATACGCTTATTGCAGCCGACGGCTCGACAATCAACACGTACGGCTGCATATCTTTATCGCTCAACCTCGGCCTCCGGAGGGATTTCACATGGCGCTTCGTAGTGGCGGACNTAATCAACACGTACGGCTGCATAACTCTATCGCTCAAACTCGGCCTCCGGAGGGATTTCACATGGCGCTTCGTAGTGGCAGACACAACCAATCCAATTATCGGTGCTGATTTTTTGGCGCATTTCGGCATTTTACCTGACCTGAGGAACGGCTGCCTTATCGACTCAACAACTGGATTAACGACCTTATGCAACGTGTCGCTATCCAGCATCGTCTCGGGAATCAAGGTTACGCCTGTCGATCCTTCATGGTCGGATCTCCTCGGTAAGTTTCCCAATTTAACGAAACCCAAAGGAATATGCCTTCCAGCCAAACATTCGACGCTGCATCATATCGCCACTACACCCGGACCTCCAGTATCCAGCAAATCACGACGCCTCGCCCCCGACAAACTGAAAATCGCCAAGACGGAGTTCGACAAAATGATCCAACTGGGAATCACCCAACGTTCGAAGAGCCCCTGGTCATCTCCGCTCCACTTGGTACCGAAAAAGTCAGGCGAATGGCGACCTTGTGGAGATTATAGACAATTGAACGCACGAACAATTCCGGATCGATATCCCGTTCGCGTTTTAGAGGACTTCACTGCTAATCTCGCTGGGAAAACAATCTTCTCGACGATCGACCTCGTACGCGCCTTTAATGAAATACCTGTGGCCATCGACGACGTAAACAAAACAGCTATCATCACACCATTTGGCCTTTTCGAATTCCCGTTCATGACTTTCGGGCTTCGAAATGCCGCACAAACATTTCAACGGTTTATCGACGAGGTTACTCGAGGCTTGGACGATTTCGCCTTTCCGTATATCGATGACATCCTCATCGCGTCCAAGGACATCGAGGAACATCGCAGACACCTCCACACGCTCTTTGAACGGCTCTCGCGATATGGTGTTGTAATTAACACCGCCAAGTGTCGTTTCGGCCAACCGGAGGTAGACTTCCTCGGCCATCGTATCTCGGCGCAGGGTATCTTACCGCTCCCGTCGAAGGTAGAGGCGATCGTCAATTTTCCTCGGCCAACATCCATTCGTAAATTGCGTGAGTTTCTAGGTATGATCAATTTTTATCGTAAATTTCTTAAAGATACTGCAAGATTTCAGGCTCCTCTCCATGAATACACTCAGGGTGCTAATGTCAAAGGCTCTCACCCCGTCGCCTGGACACCTGAGGGCGATACCGCTTTCACCGCCTGCAAGGAGGAGCTGCGAAAAGCAACGTTACTGGTCTACCCGAACACGACACTCCCGTGGGCCATCTTCACCGATGCTTCCGAATACGCCATCGGTGCAGTCCTGCAGCAACGACGAGGACAGCACTGGGAACCACTGGCATTTTTCAGCCAGAAACTACAACCTGCGCTGAGGAAACACTGCCCTTACGATCGAGAGCTCCACGCCATCTACGCTGCCGTGCGAAAGTTCCGCTCCATTTTCGAGGCGAGGCACGTCACGATCTTCACAGATCATAAGCCGTTGCTTCACGCCTTCGCCCAGGATCCCGACAGAGCCACGCCGTGGCAGTTCCACCGCCTGGATTTTATCGGCCAGTTTTCGACCGACATCCAGTACGTGGCCAGCAAGGACAACGTTGTCGCCGATGCGCTTTCTCGTATCGAGGCAATCTCTGCTGCCGTCTCTACGAATGAGTTTGCCGAAGCTCAAGCCGCTGACGAGGAGCTCCAGCAACGTCTCCAGGGTCAACATCACGACGCTCTCGCCCTACGACCTGTCAATGTTCCAGACTGCGCCACGCCTATCTATTGCGACGTGTCTGGAGATCTGATTCGCCCTTTCGTTCCTGTGCCGTTGAGAAGAAGAATTTTCGACACTCTCCATAGCGTTAGCCATCCTGGGGCACGAGCCTCAACGAAACTGGTAACGCAGCGCTACGTCTGGCCCGACATCAACCGAGACTGCCGTCTATGGGCCCGCGCGTGCATCGCTTGCCAACGAAATAAGGTATCTCGTCATGTCTCATCTCCTATTCAAGATTTTCCAGGACGCACGCAGCGCTTCGAGCACATACACGTGGACATTATCGGACCCTACGTTCCGTCCAGAGGGTATCGCAACTGCCTGACGATCATAGACTGTTTCACCAGGTTCCCAGAGGCGTTCCCCATCGAGAACACTGGAGCCGAGTGTGTCGCCCGAACGCTCTTTTCTGGATGGATCTGCCGCTACGGAGTGCCGCTTCGAATTACAACCGATCAGGGGACACAGTTTGAGAGCCAGCTGTTCAACGCTCTCGCTCATCTTCTCGGTAGCAGACATATTCACACCACCATGTTCCATCCTCAGTCAAATGGAATGATGGAACATCTGCATCGTCATCTGAAGGACGCCATTCGCTGTCATGGAAGTGATTCGTGGGTGGACATGCTGCCTATCGTCCTTCTCGGAATTCGCGCCGCCTGGAAAGAAGACCTCGGCGCAACTCCTGCCGACCTCGTCTTCGGTGAACCGCTCCGACTACCGGGAGAATTTCTTGCTCCCTCGCCACCACGCGGGCTACCGCCTACTAATATCGCCGATCGTCTGAGGAATCACTTCGCCGATCTCGCTCCTCAACCCGTCGCCCGTCATGGCCAGAGGAAGATTTTCGTCTTTAAGGAGCTCGCAAACTGCTCACACGTCCTCGTTCGTCGCGACGCTCCCCATCACGCCTTTACGTCCCCATACGAGGGGCCACACCAAGTAATATCGAGGCACGAGAAACATTTCGTCATTCGAATTAGAGGCGAAAATACCGTAGTCTCCATCGCCCGTCTCAAACCCGTTTTCTCGCTCCCAGACGATGAGCACAACAATGACGACGAAGCTAACGACGATTCCCACGACAGCAATACGACACTGACTGCACCACCTTCACCGGAGTCACTGCATCCGGGAACATCTCGACGTTCGTCATCTTACCGCCAATCTGACACCGGCTCATCGACGTCATCAATTCAAAAGCGCGTCAGATTCGCTAAACGACATCAGCTGTTCTCGACAAATCGATATTATTGATTTTCTTTTGGCTTTATGTTGCTTTCTTTTCTTTTTCCGCAGAAGGGGAGTACTTGTGGCGCGAGCCACAATAGATTAATTTCTTGAATTTATTTCGTAGCGTCTCGAATATTCCAAACGTCGGAATTCGAGACAAACGTCATTCCGTCCTTGTCCCTCACGAAATTTCAGGACATTCTCGAACCTTTGATAAACGAAGGTATATAAACTCGTACGCTCCCCGGCGGACTAAGTCAGTCTACTTTTGAGTACGCATGTAAACACTTGCCTTTAAATATACAGTTCTTGTCAACACCGAGTTATTATTCTTGATACCCGCACCAAACCGCCACAAAAAAAACGTCTCAAAATAAATCCAGTTATCTAGAAAACTACTCATTAAAAAATGGATCAATTTTTTTCAAAATTCCCAAAACTTCTTTTTTGTAAAAATGACATTTTTAAGAAAAAAAATATCTTTTTCAAATTTCAGTCTGCAGCCCCTTCTTTTGGAGACAATTAAAGACTCAACAATGGCGTTACCTCACCCCCTACGAAAATGTAAACCCTTTAATTTAAAACAAAGAATGAAATTTTCAAAAAAACTTCTTAAAATTCTGTTTCCAAACCCACTGGTTCCACCACTTGACAACCGACAATCCCCCGTAGAAGACAGCTAAAAGACGATAACACCCACCAAAAGTAGTATTATCACCACAATAAAAAGGCAAAAACTTTGAAAAGCATACGAAATTCAACCTCGTGTATAATGGTCACGTAATCCACCAATTGCGCCCAATTGATCAATAAAAATGGTACAACAATTAACGATAACAGTGTCATAAACCATCTGTTGTGATCCCCCGTTTCATCCGACAATAATCGGAATTACGTAATTGTTGGCATGTGACAGAAAGTGACACAAGGTCCTAACAATTCGTGAGCGCAGCAGAGAGAGAGAGAGAAAGAGAGAGAGAAAAACTTCAAAACCAACGATTTCGTAAAAAGTGAAAGAGAGACTCAAACCTCGAAAACATCTAGATATAACTTCCCACTAATCATAAAATAGTGATCATTAAATAAAACATCATTTTGCGATACCTCAACGGTGAATAGTATTTTTTTTAGGCGGTCCATAATGCGGCCAGCTTAGCCGTAATCATGTGTTATTTATCGCTCCACATGGCATTAAAATGTTGAATTTTTTGCATTGACAGTAATTAGTAATTTGGGGGTTGATCTACCTTGTTCGCTGCTGGATCTGTGACTGGAATATCACTGACATTGGTCCTTGATTCTTTTCGTGAGGTGCCAGTGTTTGGACCGTCCCCGCTGTCAGCCATCTTTGACTAACTCCACCGCCGGAATCGAATGGATTTACATCGACTCACACATGTACATGGGCTTTATACGTGGGTAACAGCTGATTGGAGGGGCTTCGATGGATTATCACGAGGCTGCAGGGGCGTAGGAGGCGTTGGCTACGGTAGGGATGTCTCCAAGTACTTCGTTCAAGTTAGCAAAAAAAAATTGCTAACTTGAACGAAGTACTTGGAATTATTATTTTTATTTTCTCATTTAAAAAAATTTTTTTTTCATCCCCTTTGTCCAACAGTTTTGACAAATACTTAATTTCTTTTCAATTAGCAATGTGACAACTACTCGGGGCCAATTTATGAGATTATGAATAAAGTGTGAAATTAGAATGAAAAAATTATCGAAAAAAATCATTAAACAATGAAAAATTGAAAAAAGTATACAGCAAGATTTTCAATTTTTCATTGTTAAATGATTTTTTTTTGTAATTTTTTCATTTCAATTTCACACTTTACTCATACCCTCGTATATTGGAGCCCGAGTAGTCGACACATTGCTAATTGAAAAGAAATTGAGAAAAAAACGAAATTAAATTTTTTTTTAAATTGAGAAAATAAAAAAAATAAAATATATAATATAAATAATAATTTATTGAATATATTATCTATTTAATAAAATAAAAATAAAATTGAGAAAAAGAAAAAATTAGAAAAAAAAATTAAAAAATTAAAAGAATAAAAAAATTGAGAAAAATAAAAAAACACTTCTTGATTTCTCAATATTTTCCGTAAGAGTCGGGATATTTAAAGTAGAAACAATACAATCCATTTTTTTGTAAAGATTTATGTTGTGTCTTTAATTATTCAAAATATGTACGCATACATTCATCAAATCCCTGATGCATATGAATTTATATTGCTCACATGTACATTTTGTACTCAAAATAATATTTCAATTGTTCAAGTTCATCTGAAGAAACCACAATGGCTGATAATGAAAAGTATTTTTGATTTCTATAAAATAGTAAACATAATTATCAATGAAGATTCATGAGAAAATGTGCACGACAGTGAAACTGATATCGAGTCAAAATTTCTCAGGAAAAGGGAATCTCTTCTTTCGATGGATGTCTCATAAATTTCGTTACCACAGTTTATAAATTGTGTATAAAACTCCACATTATTTGCGATAATTTTTCACTCGTTAGGACATGAAAAAAAATATTGTTTCATTAATTTGAACGGAATATAAAACTATACACTTAATTAGGATGAAATTTTCGCCGGTGGCCTGAACGCACCAACGACAACAGCGTGGTCTCTCTCGTAGGGCTCAAGAGTTATCTGCTCCTGTGGTTTTAATTTGTCAGCAACTAATTTTTTCACTTCTGCAGCGAATACAGCCTCGGGTTGGGCAGTAGAGTCTATACAGCTTGCCTGGAGAAATTCAGTGATGAGAGATTTTTTCATTTTTTCATGAATAACAGAAGATGAAAAAGACATTTAAGAAAAAAAAAATCAAGTGATTTTTTTCTTCTCCAAGGTGAAAAATAAATGAACAAATAAATAAATAAATAAATGAATTCTATTGAACTTCTATTGAAAATACAAGCAGTTTATGATTATTCTATTGAAGAGATTTATAGCTTGCGCGTTTTTTAAATAGAAAATAGAGAACATTTCCAACAGAAATTATTTTATAGAATAAATCAGTAGAATTTCATGAATTTTCCTATATTTTCCATTCTATTGTACTCTCTTTTCTCTAAAAAAAATCAACAAGAGAACTTAAAAAATTTGATCCAAGGCATTTCTATGGAAATTCAATTCTATTGCCTTCCTATGGAATATTTTCCATTAAACTTTTATGTTGAAATAAGAATGCGCCGAAAAGCTGCCAAATTTTTCAACAGAATCGTCCAAAAACTAATAGGAATCCAATAGAATTATCTGCCAAATTCACAACGTTTTTCAATAAAATTTTCTTTTCTATGAAATTTACGTTAATGATGGGAATGCATACCTTGATGGATATGACGAAATGCCCGCCATTTTTGAGAAAATATTGGGAGTTGAGGGAGACTATCCTAGCTTGATCTGGCTGTGCAACATCAGCGAATACCGTATCAACCATTCCCACAAGCATTCTGTACTTGTGTGGATGTCTAGCATCTTCGATGATTGGAATAATATTCGTTCGTTTCTTCGCAACGTTTATGAGATCCCTTCCAGATCTGTGGGAGAATTCCACAGCGTACACGAGGCCCTCCTGCAAATAAATTTGTCATTTCGTATTTATTTCACAGACCAGTATTCTGATAACTCGTTTCCAGATGAAAGAATTAGCGAATTTTGAGACGTGTAGGAAGCATTGTCATCGAACAGACTCAACAGTCCGCCTGATAAAGATTGTTTCCACGTTAATCTTGCATTACTTCGACACCAAGTAGGCGAGAATGGGCCAGCTTGGCTCTAATGTATGCGTAAATTATCAAGTTATAAATTCCCAAATTTTCATTTTTTCATATTTATCATACGCAAAAATGATCAATCTTGCTTCTCAGATTTTCATCCATAAATTCTAAACTCTTCAAAATTCATGAAAATTCTTCGGTTTCCCAAATAATTCGAGAAAAATCTGTGAAGATCTCCGGTTATCTGGAAAACTGAAATTTTCCGCAGAATTCAAGAAATTTTTTCAGTTTTCTAAGAAATCAATTCATGACCCTCCCCTCATTTTTCAACAATTACAGATTTTAATCAGATTATTTTAAAAAGTAAAAAAAAAAGAATTAATCGAAGATTAAAAATTATTCACTGATGTTTCACTCTTCATTCTCTTTAAGTCATTATCAACATTTATAAATGAGAAAATGAGACCCGATTCGTTTAAATTGCATCATTTGATTACGAGACACTGACAATTTACAAAAAGTTTGTGTTTGTTTTGAATTATCTTTAGCTCATTAAGTTCGGGAATGACGTGCATTCTGGGAACAAATAACATTCTCCAATCAATCAATCGAGATATCATGAGAAAGAATGGGAATCTCACCGGTCCAACAACATCAGCAACATGTGAAACTGTAGTTCCAGAGGCAGCTCCAAGATAAAGCACTTTGCTGCCAGGTGGCATGTGAATTTGGTCAATACCCCCGAGAATAGCAGCAGCCAGTTTTGATCTGAATGGATTCCAAACTCTGTACTCAATTTTCTCGCCATTATCCCCATCGATGCTGATCCTCTTCTCCCCGTAGACCTCTGATCCAGGCACCAAATTACGGGTGACGAGAGCGTCCTCCTTCCCTCTGGCGATGAAGACTCCCTCGTGACGATGGGGCTCGATAACCACTGTTTTTCCACCTCTGAAGCCACCTCCACCCCCACGTCCCCCACGTCCACCCCCTCGTCCTCCTCCACGACCTCTGGGTGTCCCTCTGCCTCCACCACCTCCACCTCCACCACCACGACCTCCACGAAATCCTCCGCTACTGCGGTCTCCACCGCCTCCTCTACCCCCACGAAAACCTCCACGACCTGACGAAAACGATATAATTCATGATTTCGATCCATTTTTGCTGTTAATTCAAGTTTTTTTTGCTATTTGTGAAAACTGGAGATTGAAGTGATTCAATGCAAAAAAAATACGAATAGGAAAGTTAATTATTGAATTATGGTAGATTGATGATATGATCATAATCATTACTCAATTATTTCTGGGGCTAGCTAAGACAGAGTGTTGGGAGACTATGGTGAAGAGAAATTTAAAGAGACTAGAAATTGAACAATCGCTTAAATTGTGATACTGTGATATTATCATTAGTTATTATACATTAATGTTATAAAAATAATTTATTGGAGTGTTATTGGGAATGTTTTTCATTGGCTTGTGCAGATGTCAAACTGCACAGTTTGTTTTGCTATTTGTGAAAACTGGAGATTGAAGTAATTCAATGCAAAAAAATACGAATAGGAAAATTAATTATTGATTGATGGTAGATTGATGATATGATCATAATCATTACTCAATTATTTCTGGGGCTAGCTAAGATAGAGAGAGTGTTGGGAGAATATGCTGAAGAGAAATTTAAAGAGACTAGAAATTGAACAATCGCTTAAATTGTGATACTGTGATATTATCATTAGTTATTATACATTAATGTTATAAAAATAATTTATTGGAGTGTTATTGGGAATGTTTTTCATTGGCTTGTGCAGATGTAAAACTGCACAGTTTGTTTTGCTATTTGTGAAAACTGGAGATTGAAGTGATTCAATGCAAAAAAATACGAATAGGAAAGTTAATTATTGATTGATGGTAGATTGATGATATGATCATAATCATTACTCAATTATTTCTGGGGCTAGCTAAGACAGAGTGTTGGGAGACTATGGTGAAGAGAAATTTAAAGAGACTAGAAATTGAACAATCGCTTAAATTGTGATACTGTGATATTATCATTAGTTATTATACATTAATGTTATAAAAATAATTTATTGGAGTGTTATTGGGAATGTTTTTCATTGGCTTATGCAGATGTAAAACTAACAGTACTATCAAGGAAATAAAGTATTCTACTCAAAGAATTTCTATTCTGCTCAATTATTTCATGATGTCAACAAAATAAATTTGGAAAGGATGACAGTTGGATTATTTTGTTACATGCTGGAGAGTAAAATATGAAGACTATTGTTTTTTGATTATTGTAACCTCAACTGATCAGAAATGACTAGAATTGAAAAAACAAACAAAATGCCTCTGCACTCCCCCATAATGACCAAAACAATCGAAAAAGAAGTGCAAATGTTTTGGAAAATAATCCGGGGACGAATGCAAAAAACAATTCAATGTTTTCATCGAAAAAAGAGATGAGTGAATTAATTGTTGATTGATTATTCACTTAACTATTATATAAAGACTCGAACGTTTTAATGCAAAAAAAAAATTCGACAGCAAGTGAATTTGCTTATTAATTTTTTCTACATATTCCTCGACAATAAAACGTGAAGACTATTGTTTTTTGATTATTGTATCCTCAACCGTTCCCTAGAAATAAAAAAACAAACAAAATGCTTCTGCATAATGGCGAAAACAATCGAAAAAAGATTGAAAATTCTTCGGAGTGAATTTTTTTCATTGTTGATAATTCATCAAGGTCAATTATCAAATGCTATTTTAGTGAAATCCATACCTCCTCCTCCTCCCCCACGACCCCCTCTGAATCCACCGCCACCTCCTGGTGAGAATCCTGAAAAAAACACGAATTACCACATTTTGTGAATTAATTAATCAAAGTCTATGGGGAAACGTTAAAGTTAAGGTTAATGGCGTGGCTCCGAAACGACCTGACGTGGCACCGCTCCCTTGACAGAATGCCCCCCAGATGAAGCATCCCCCTCGTGAGAAGAGCAATCGTCAATCGCCTCGCGGGGCGAATCCCCCCGTCGATGAATTATCGTCAGAATGAATTGTAATTAAACAACGATTTCGAGGTTATCCGACAACGCGGACTCCGACGCGTTCCCCAGACCCTTGGGGCTGCATCCCAGGGTCTCAGTATCCCCCCCAATCAAAACAACAACACGAGGAGTTCATCGTCAGGACTCACCTGGCTTACCCATTGCTATTGTGCTTCGAGTCGAAACCGCAGATTGATTTTTTTATTACAAAATAATTATTTTGTACGCTGCAGGTTTATAAACTCCGGAACACCGAGCACACGTTGAACACGTGCGCGCGGATGTGACTGCGCGCCCGCCCCCGGCGGTAGCACAACGGGTTCAGTTCACGGAGTGACCTTTAACCGCCAGCGCCATCTACAGAAGAGCAGAAATGGTACATTTTTTTGAAAATTCGAGAAAATTCACCAGGGGAAATTCATAAATTTCAACCAATCCTAGTTGAGTATTTCGAATCCAGGACTGTCATTGATTGAAAATTACAATTTCATGTCGACATAAAACGAGCAAAATCGCTCCCCAGGGGAGTGATCCCCAATAATTTGTAAAGAGTTTAAAGAATGTGAGTGAAAAATCTAAAGTGTAAAGAGGTGACTAATTTTAATAAATGTAACAAATTGAGAAATGTGAGATTCCAGTGTAAAGTTATTTTATAACTTCTTCGTAACATAAATTCGGGCTGGAATCTGCACGGAATTAGTCATAGCGCTGCGGCCCTCATTTTCTCCTCCCACCGGCAAGCGATTTGACCGAAGGTAAAGTCCTTATTGGGATAATTACCATCGAGACTGTTGTTTGAAAATTATTATTTAGAAGGCACATAGCAGGAGGATTTTCCCCGCGACATTTTTCCGCTGAATTTCTAATCAGCAAATGGTTTTGAATTTTAGTGGAACTAAAGTAGGATTTATAAATTTCAAATTTGGCTCGTAATTCGATGGAATTGCAAATTTTTTAGCAGCAGGGCGACGAGAATATCCTAATTGACTCGAATTTTCAGTGCAAACATCAACATTCAGTACCAAATTGCGCTGAATTTTAAAGTATTCCATAATGTAAGAATATTTCATCTAAATTCCCTTTTTTCGTACTCATTTTCGTGGAATAATTGAATCGAAATTAACATTTTCCATTGATTTAATCTCAAAATTCAGAATTTTCAATTACGAAATTCCTCCCAATTCCAGTGGAACTACAATATGATAAAAATATTCAACGAATATATCAGAAATTTCAGCCACGAATTTAAAAAAATCATAATCTCACTTAAAATTCGATGGAATTTCAAATTGTTTAGCAACAGGGTGACGAGAATATCCCAATTGACACAAATTTTTAATGAATACATCAACATTCAGTACCAAATAGCGCTGAATTTCAAATTATTTAAAAATCTAAGAATATATATCATTTAAATTCCCTTTTTTCCTAGTAATTTCCGCGGAACAATTGAATCCAAATTACCACTTTCCATAGATTTCATCTAAAAATTCAGAATTTTCAATGACTAAATCCCTCCGAATTTCAGTGTTACTACAATCCGATAAAACTGTCCAAGCACTTTCAAATTTTCCCCAAAATCAACGAAACCCTACATGACATAGATAACAGAAAATAATCATTCCAAAACCAGCGACTACATTTCGCAAAAAATATTTTGATTCCCACTAAAATTCCACCCAACAATCAACCCGAACTGTGAACTTTCAGCGCCGGAATTCCCGGAGAAATTTCTCCGAACCCATAAAAAATTCCCTGAAACTCTTCAACGGCGTTTTAGCCAATGCCAGCAGCCTACTAGCAGAACAATAAAAAAATCTCCATTCTCCATCTTCGGAATCTAAGACGAAGTCTATTAGCAAGTGTCCCACTAAGCCCCCCCCCCTGTCAAATGACGACCCCCGCGTCGGTGTGAGCGCACACAGTCCCGTGGGCAGTGGCGCAGTCACCGTTGTAGTTCAAAGAAGCCCAACATGGCAGCCCGATCGAAAACAACTCGATGCTTCTACGATTGAAGTGACAAAGCACTAAACCCCTGTCCCCCCGCGATTGTCATAAAAAAACAGCCACCGGTGGTGTCTAAAATCCAGTGAATAATGTGAGCACAATCAACCCGGGGGGATGGAGAGATAACGGTTTGCGGAATTGAGCGTTCGAGAGTGAAAAAAAAACGTCTGGGAATTTTTGTATACTTCGAGCCTCGTATACTCCAGGTACCACACGACTGCGATTTCCGTCTGTCCAATTGGGCCCCCACGGCACTCCAGCGAGGTTCAAATTTCGTAACGGTCGTTCTGAGGTGCCCGCAGATCACCACAGTTTGACAGGTATTCGATGCAAACTATTTTTCGAACCGCGATCGACTAAATTTTTGTTTACGGTTGAAATTTCCGCTGTGAGCCCGCACTGTTGTCGATTTGGAGCACTTCGTGCTGTTGTTTGTGTATGTGAATTGTTAATTGCCGCGTCGACAGTGTTTCGTATAATAAAGCGAGGAGAAATCGATTCTCATTGATTTTTGAAGAAATCCCTCAATTTCGGGTTTTCTTCGAATTTTTGGGATTTGATGTTTTGGAGTTTTTTGGGTTATTGAGGATTTTATTTTGTTGCAGGAGTTTTTTTATTGCGAGGGAGTCATGGAAGACTGCCGTGAGGTGCTGGTCTGTGCCACGGAGTTCCTGAAGGGTTTGTGGATTTTTTAAAGGGTTTGGAGGCTTGCGAGGAGTTAGTTGGTGGGGTCTGGAGGGGTTTTGGGAAGTCTTCGGGGGGAATTAGTTAAGTCCGAGGCTAGTGTAGGCGGATGATGCCGAGGGGAGTGTCAAGGACTACTCCAATTGCGTTTAGCATCAGTGGATAGTTAATTTGTCTGCGATTATGTAAACGAGCCTTTGGAAAATTGTACTTTCTGGTGATCTGTTTTTTTCCATTGGGCAAATGGGGGTAATAATTTAAACTTATTGAAGGAGGATGTCCTGGGTTTATGAGGTTTAATTTTAGAGCTTTTAATTCTCATTTTTGTCCGCAAAAAATCAGTAGGGAAGTGGTCAACAGGTTTAAGGCAATTCCATTCTAGCGCCGGCTCTCGATGAATATTTCAAATTCTAAAGGAATTAGCAAAATTTTCAAACGGACACTTGACTTTTTTTTAATGTTAATGAAGGGTTGAAATGTTGATAAAATTCAATAATTTTTTTTTAATACAAAGAACAATTATTTCCCTTTGTGACGAGCCTGAACTGAGCTCAATTAATAAATTTGTTTCTGAGTTATGAATAATTTAAAAAAAGTCTAAAGTGTACATTTTACCCCACCCTCCCCTATTGAAAAAGATCTTGCAAAAATTTCCCTATCTTTTTTAAATTCCGAATTATTCAATTTAAAATAAAGTCTCATTTTAGAGTCTAAAAAAACCCCAGAAATGGCAAGAAAATCGTTAAATTTTAGTCAATCGATCTCGCGCTCCTGGCCATTAAAAATAGTCCTTTTCGTGTTTTCCCCCGGCCGTAATTCCCACAGAATCATAAATAAAACAAACAAATTTAATGAATAAGCTAAGTCGCCTTCAGCCGATTGACCACTTCTCTACTGAAATGTCTTCTGAAATATTTTCCAGAAACAATTTCAATGTCATTTGAATTAAAGTCTTATTTTAAAATCTAAAAAAGCCCCAGAAATGGAGAGAAAATCGTTAAATTTTAGTCAATCGATCTCGTGCTCCTGCCCATTAAAGACAGTCCTTTTCGTGTTTTCCCTCGGCCGTAATTCCCACAAAATCAGAAACAAATCCTAAACAAATTGAATGAGTCAATTGAATTTTAATGTCATTTCAATTAAATTTTACTCAATTGATCTCGTGCTCCTGACGATTAAAGGCATTTCTGTTTTGTTTTTCCCTCAGAACTGAATCGTAAATAAAATTAATCCAGGGGGAATGATCTTATCGTTTCATATGGGAATAACCGATCACAATCCCCCACAGGAAAATCGTAATAATATTCTCCTGTTATTCCAGACCGTTTCTACCTAGTGACCCTGCAAACCGATATAAAACCCAAAAGCACAGCAGACACGCACTACTTCAGTATTGACGATGAACTAGTATACGAGAATTTTTATGCCGACTTTGGGCCCCTCAACCTCGCAATGTTGTACAGATACTGCGACAAAGTTAATAAAAAACTGAGAACTGTTGCCTTAAGTAAGAAGAAAATTCTTCATTACACAACTACGGATCCTGAGAAGAGGGTCAATGCTGCATTTTTAGCTGCCAGTTACGCCGTGAGTGTTAATTACATTGAGTACATTTTATTTCGGGTGATAATCGTCTCGATTTGTCTTTATTATCATGACAAAATGGCGAAAAGAACGACAGTCGAAGCTGCAAAGTTTAGGCATTAAAGCCCCGGTGGATTATCTTTCGAACGTTATTTTATATCACATTTTATATCACACAGGAGTCCCTGAAAATTATGATTGTACAATAAAAAAAAAGTAGAAAAAAAACATTTTCTAAGAGCGTTTTAATAAAGATTAAGAAATAAGTCCAATAGAGAGGAAATAGTGAATGGATAATTTATCGTGGTAACTAACGATCTCACAGCCATTGACTACTGTGACAAATGACGACCCAACAGCCATTAGATTCATAAAATTATTAATTTGCAATTTCCTCCCTATTGGGTTTATTTTTCAATCTTATTGAAAAGCGCTCTTTGAATGTTCAGCTTTTTTCCAACTTTTTTTAAATTGTACGATCATAATTTTTGGAGACTCCAGGGCTATGTAAAACTGAATAGCAATTGGAGATCATTTCAGATAATTCGAAACGAGACGATTTAAAAAAATGAAAATTATTAAATTTTCAGATATTGTATTTGAAAAAGACAGCCCAAGAGGCCTACGATTTACTGATAAACAGTCCCCACAGCCCGCCATATCAAATGTTCCGTGATGCCTCCTTCGGTACCCCGTGCTTTCAAATATCCCTGAGGGACTGCCTGAGTGCCATTTACAAGTGTCATCGTCTCGGCTTCTTCAATTTCGATGATTTCAATCCCAAGGAGTACGAGCATTACGAGAGAGTTGAGAATGGAGATCTCAATTGGATTCTACCGGGGAAATATATCGCTTTCTGTGGACCACATGCCAAGTTGAATAATGAAAATGGTGAGTGAAGAGTTGAACAACGAAACGTTGAAATTTCCATTGAGACTATTTTGAAAATAACTTGGAAACTAACAGGTTTAGGAGAAAATGTCAGAAAACCATTTTTGTAGCTCTTGAAATTCTCTACAAGGACTGTCTTATGACATTTTCCCCTAAACCTCTTCCCTTCCGAGATATCCAGAGACGAATCCGGAAACTGATTTTGCACTCAAGAACACATTTATTTCGACGGAATCCCCTTGTTTCTTCTCTCATTTCTGGAATAAAAGTCTATGCTTTATTTTTTGCCATTCCAGGGTATCCCTTGCACGCCCCAGAGTCGTATTTCTCCTACTTTCGTCGTAACAATGTCACAACGATAGTGAGATTGAACCAGAAGATCTACGAAGCAACGAGATTCACAGAGGCTGGTTTCGATCACAAAGACCTGTTTTTCGCTGACGGATCGACCCCCACTGACTCGATTGTACGTCAATTCTTGAAGATATCGGAGAACACCCCCGGTGCCATCGCTGTGCACTGCAAGGCTGGCCTTGGGAGGACAGGATCACTGATAGGGTGTTACATAATGAAACATTATCATCTTTCTGCTCATGAGACCATCGCGTGGATCAGAATATGCAGGCCTGGGTCTGTCATCGGTCATCAGCAGAGATGGCTCGAAGAGTTCGTATTCATTAATTCTATGGCAAGAACTCATTTCAATTGTCAATTCAATTCAGATCATTCAATGGAACTCAGTAACGAAGCGTCAAAACGGTTTATGTGAATATATCGAAGTCTAAGGGAGATAGCAAAATTTTTGTCATAACCTTTTTTGTTGCGCGAATTGAGGGCTACAAAAAAGGTAATTACGAAAATTTCGTTATCTCCCTTAGATTCGGAGATATTCCTCGAAAACTTGGCTCATCTTTTTGAAAAATTGTTTTTTTTTCTTTTTTTCTATTTCACCTCAGAGAATCTGAAGTGAAATATTCCACTGTTGATTATTATCACGGTTCCACTGAAATTTCAAGGATTTTTGTAATTCAAAATTCAAAATTTCAGGATAAAATCGATGGAAACTATAATTAACAGTTCAATTATTCCTTGAAAATTAACAGAAAGAAGGAAAAGTATTCATGGGTTCAAATAATTTGAATTTCCAGGAAAGAGAAATACCTCCACTCACTGGTAAAAGAGCCCCTGAGAGCTGAGAATGGAAATCCCCCCCATCCATTCGGAATTTATTCAAAAATTGGAAGACCAAATGCCTTCTCGGCTGTGCCGAGGTGCCCGAATTTGGGGCAGGACAATGTATCAGGAATAATGCACCGGGTTGATGGTATTCGGCTGGACGACACGTCGTCCCCAACGACTAGCACCAGTGCTGCAGGGAAATTTGCATGTATGACGCAGGGAGACAAATTGAATGAGATTAAAATACGCAGACGACGAGCCGGCAGCAATTTTTACGTGGGAAACACAATAGGGCAGCCAGCTGTTGTACTGTGAGTGGACAATGATTTTTTTTCTTATCATATTCATGTGAAAAGTTCATTTGACGAGGAGATGATTGATTTAATCAGATTTTTACCCCTGAAATTCGCAATTTGATTTTCATTTCTCATTGAAGGATTACGGAGATGTTTTTTCGTTGGAAATTCATGGAAATAATTTAATTTAATTAATGCAATCATCTCCCCGTGAACCTGTCAAGCACTAATGCAATTAACAAACTCCAAGAGAAAGAAAAAATCGACCGAAAAAATATTTCAGTCCAAACTTGGGACTTTTACTGCAATCGAGAAGTCAGAAAGGCGGAATATCACCATTAGTTGGATCCAAGAAGGATACAAATAAGCGTCTCCTCGCGCGTTCAACCACAACGACACTCGTTAAAAGGTCCGTTCATTAATAACACTCATTACCACCTATTTGTGTGTTTTCATCTGTGCTGTTGCATCCTCTAATAAAACTATTCCCCAACGGTCTCGCGATGTGCATGGGGGTATAATTTACCACTTTGTGTTCATGTTCTTCCTTTGCATTTTATCAAAATCAATTCAGCAGTAAAGTTATAAAACGGCCCAAGTCAGTTTTGTCTATTGGCCGATTTTCAATGAATAACTCGGAATCTGAGGGAGATAGCGAAATTTTTGTCATGACCTTTTCTGTAGCCCTCAATTTTCTCTGCAAAAAAGGTCCTTACGACAAATTCGTTATCTCCTTTAGATTCGGAGATATTCCGCGAAAACTGAGCTTCACTGCTGAATTTTTTTCTTCTTTATTGGGTGACGTTTGCAGAATGAGTGAAAATAGAAATACATTTTTTTTGTTTGAAAATTTAATGGATTTTTCGTTTTTTTATTTTATCCACCATATGCAGAAATACACGAAGAGTTACTGGCAATTGCAAGCCGACGTCGTGCTACGTGAGGCCTAAAACAGCGAGCCAAATGGCCTCGACAAAGGCCACAGCCTCGGTTGGAGCTAAAACGATGAGTGTAACGAAACCAGTGACGAGATCAAACGTGAGAGACACGTGTTTGACGGATAGCCGTGCCGCTATCTCATCGACGAGCAATCATCCTCTCCAGCAGTCGCAATCTGGCATGAACATGGTGCTCAGATCGGCGGATCGAGTCAGTCGATATAATTCACTGAGGCAGTAAGTCATTCTGTCATTTTTCCTTGTATTTTTCTGAAATTTTCGAGATTGATTATTGAAGGGAGTAATTTATTGTCGAGATATTAATCAGTTTTGATCGAGGGTGTTGACTATTAACTGTTGGATATTAATTTTAGGGTGTTTGTGGCATGGTTGCATGGAGGATATATAATACATCAATATACCTGAGCAATATATTTAAGTAGTTGAGTTGGATAATTATTAAAATGTTTGAATTTACTGATGTTTTAATTGTCTTTGGAATGTTGAGAGGCATTTTTGTCTGAAATATTTTTAAATTGAGGAAACAACAAAAACAAATTCTTTCCTTCACTAGATGAATTAAAAAGTGAATAATATTCGGCTCAGTTGCTCGATAATTAATATAAAAATAATCATCTCCGGTGATATTTTTATATTAAACATCCTGAACTATTTTCAGCTAAAATTTTGAATATTTTTTAATAAATTCACATTTTTGTGTCCAATTTGAGGATAAAAACGCCAAAGTAATATTTTTCTTCACTAGATGAATTAAAAACTATTTTGGATTCCCATAACATTGATAGAGTAAAGGAATCTCTTAATAATGTAAATAATATCCAGCTTAGTTGCTTGATAATTCATATAAATATAGCATTGGGGGTGGCTAACGAAAAAGAAAAGAGAACAAAAACCATATCCCGTTTGCTTTTGTGACTTGCAGTGCGCGCACGACAATAAGTTCGAAAACAGCATTTATCAGATGATTAACCGATATTCTTAGTGGTGTTGGGGATGGCGCAACCATCAGCCGTGCATCGAGACAGCGGAGAAGATCTCACCGATTAAATCCCATCATCCAATGAGAAAATATCGACCTGAGGCTTTTTAAAAACATTACATTTGTGGTATCAGACAGCTAACACCAATCAACACGATAAATATGGCTTATCACATTAATTATTTGAGTGTCTAATGCATTACACACCGATGTGATAACACTACACGTAATTATCGGGGCAAAGACTTCAATCGATTACATAATAGTGTATGTAATTTTAATAATCATGAGATCCCTTTTTTATTATTTTAAAAGTTTTATAGATTCATCGCTGTAAAGTAGTCTGTATTGAACTAGTGGAGGCTAATATTCTTATATTAATATTCAGAATTGTGTACATAGTTGAATTATCATGTGGTAGCACAAAATTTCGGGGATTGATAATTAATATTAATATTTAGGTGAAATCCCGTGTCTGCTTATGCAGTTATTGTATTCAACGCATATTTTTTACTTTATAGAGGATATTTGCGGTCATTTGTGATTGAACATTGGAGTTAATATTTTTTTAATGAAAATTAATGATTTGTTGATGGCGATTAGGAGATCCTCTCATTGAAAATCACGAGATTTAAGAATAAATTTTACGACGAACTTGTCAATTCAATTGGGTTTCAAACGGGTTTCGGGCATGATCAAAAGAATATTCTTGACCGCAAAAATAGCATAGAGTAATTTATAAAGAAAAATAAAGCTCAATGGAACCAAGTTCGATGATCATCTAACTTTCCAATTTTATAGACCAAAATTGCTAGTAAAAGTCCTAGGATCTCCTTGAATTCAAACGATTGTGATATAAAATAATGAAAATTACGAATACATCACAAATGATGCATCTATCATTTTTCTTTTCGATTGAACCCACGAGTTTTTATAAATCTTTTGCAGTATAGAAACTAGTTTTTTGTTGATCAATGGTGCGTGTACATTTATATGTAAGTATTACAGAGAATAACGAGATAAAAATTGAGTACTTGCACATTCTTATTAATGAAGACGACGCAGAGGCGTTTGATTGTCACTTAATGTATTCACAGTATTTTAGTAAAGAGTAAATGCATTTTCCGAGGTTTTCAGGAATGTATAGAATGTTATGTAAACGTAGAGATCATCGTCGAGAGGCACATTTGAATAGAAAAATTCTGGAAAATACGTAAATCACATCATGAATTTTAACGATTAGGGTACATGTTTTTAATGAAAATCGTACGGTGCAAAAAAATTTTAAAACACCACCGAATCTTTTATGTATATGCTCTGTTAACATTTTGTCAATTTTAATATGAAATAAAATGTTTACCAAAACTGGTAATAATGGCAATACTACAAAAAAATTTTTAATGTGATCGCAAGGAAATGACGCATGAATTTATTTAAAAAATCTTATTTATTCTCAATTCATTAATTACAAAATCTTTTTACAAATATAAAAATATAAAAATGTCATGGGACATTGAATTTGTGACTGAAATAAATATCAATCGACTGGTGTCAGGACTATTGCGAGTAGAAAAATACAAAGACAATGCTCACAAACTCCTCACTGGACAGATGAGAAAATTCGAAAATTTCAACAATCAAAAGACTAGTTCAAGAATTTTCTCAGTTGTCTGATGGATTCAGACTCCCTCCCCTCAATTCCCCGTCCATAATCTCATAATTGATCACATGCATTAATTTCTCGGTAAAAAAATTGAAGTTAAAATTTATCTGAGTAAAAAATAAATAACATAAGTGGCCAACGCAACCCAGTGACTGGCGAATCCCAGCTGCGACCACTTATCGATCGTGTGGCTGTAGCTGTATCCACTCTCCTGAATATCCGAGGTATCGAACATGAGTCCTAAATAAGCTAAATGGAAGATCGATAATACTGAAAAACTGAGGTTCGCAACGATGACCCAGTAACAGTTCTCAGGATTTTTTTTATGACAGCATTTCTCAGTTGGGCATCGTTTCGCTGAGATGCACGCGTCAAATGCATGAGCAAGAATGTTCCTCAGTTGGAACTCCACATATGTGTAAAAGCCAAGGCTGAGGAGAACAGCAGCCAGTTGGAAGTTCAATCCATGGAGGAGGGCACTGGTTAAGTATGTCAGTGTCACTGCACTGAATTTACCTATACGTTTTGTTGCTGGTCGAAATATGTCTGGAATGAGAATGAAATTTTAATAATATCGATGATTTTTTCATCATTTCCAGTTCTAAGAGAGAAATTATATTTTAAAAAATAAATAAATGAATGAATTAAATGAATTAAATTAAATTATTAAATTTAATTATTATGTATTATTAAATTTAATTATTATTATCATTAACTTATTATTTTTTATTTAATTAAATAAATAAAATGAAATAAATTGATTAAATTTTTATATTTTCAAAAAAAAAATTGAAAATTTATAAATAACTATAATTACATAATTTCAGCCACGTGTGCATGGGAATATTCCAGGAGACAACGACCTGAACCAGCGATCTGGGCATTTCAATATCCCCAGGTTTAACAATGGTCGTGAGTGACGATGGATATCCTCCCAATAATAAAACACTCGACGAGGCATAGCAGATGAAGTAGTGAGAGGTCCTGAAGGATAATGCGTCTCGATACGCCAGAACCCACCTGTAAAGAAATCGAAATGCAAAATTACAAAAATGAAAAAAGGAAAGAGAAAAAAACAAAATAAAAAATATTGTCCTCACTTCGTTGAGCTGTCAGCTAGCAGCCACCCACTCCAGCAATTCGAAACACTCAGGAAGACGAGTGAGACCGTGTAATGCTTGACGATCTGAATAATCCACTCCAAACTCTGTGAAAAATATTGAAAAATAATTTTTTTTCCTCAATAATTTATGTTTTCAATCGGTTGAGGCATTCGGAGTATCTCCAACTCACTAATGACGATCTCTCGTTATCCAACAATCCTATATAGTCCTTGAAGCTGATCCAGGGCCCGAAGAGGCATGTGGCAGCCCCGAATAAATATCCTGGGTACTGCCAGACATTCGGAAAGTCGTTGTTGTTGGATTTATCGAGGGAGACACTCACAGCCTTCATCGCGGCTATCATCATGACACTGCGAACCTTGTGCCAAGCTGAGGGCTCCATTGTGTATTCACTGATTCAATAAAGGCCTCAATTAATTCAGCGCGAAGTGGAAAAACGGTTCAAGTCAATTTTGACTATTGGCCAGTTTTCAATGAATATCTCGGAATCTAAGGGCGATAGCAAAATTTTTGTTAGAAACTTTTTTGTAGAGACGATTGAGAGCTACAACAAATGTCATTACGAAAATTTCGCTATCTCCCTCAAATTCGGAAATATTCCTCAAAAACAAAACTGGGAGATGAGTCGACTTAAACCGTTTTACCACTTCGCTATTGGGTTAGTCAACTGAATGATTAATTGGGAAACGAAATTATGAGAGGTTTAAGAATATCCAAGTAATATCCATTTACAGTGATTCTATAATTTAAGGCCCGAGTGGATTATTTTTCGAACGTGATCTTGGTTGTTTTTTTTATTTTGATAATCTGAAATGATCTCCAATGGCTATTCAATTTTACATAGCCCTAGGGTCTCCAAAAATTATGATTGTACAATCAAAAAAACGTTGAAAAAAGCTGAACATTTTCAAAGAGCGTTTTTAATAATATTGGGAAATAAACCCAATACGGAAAAATCGCAAATTAATAATTTGACGTATCTAATGGCTGTTGGGTCGTCATTTGTCACAGTAGTCAATGGCTGTGAGATCGTTAGTTACCATGATAAATTATCCATTCACTCTTTCCTCTCTGTCGGACTTATTTCTTAATCTTTATTAAAAGATCTTTTTCTACTGTTTTTGATTGTCCAGTCATAATTTTTAGGGACTCCTGCGTGATGTAAAATCCAAAGGAAATTGCGATATATTTTACATTATGAAGATGGAAAAACAATTGAGATAACGTTCGAAAGATAGTCCATCCGGGCCTTAAACTCACTTTACTTTCTGGCTTTCTTAAATTTAATTTATGCTCACCAGTATAAGATAACTAATAGGCTAATAACGAAGACTTCTCCTCCTCTTTGGTATCTTCGTGGTAAACACAGGCAGGCGTACGATAATACAGCATAGGTGAGCAATAAATATAAACATTCAGGCACGTAATGCTGGAGTGTGTAGATTCCGATGGCTATCGACAGCATGTGAAATAAATAATGTGGCAGTTTTTCTGGAAAAAAGAATTCATTGGAGGCTGAACCAATCGGTCTGATCATTCATTCATTCATTCATTCTTGGAGAAAATGTCATCGAGACATTTTCGTAGAGTTAATTCTCCCATAAAATAACAAATGCCTGTCAGTGGCTGCAGTACTTACTGATGAGAATAATCTGGGTCAAAACATTGAAGACTAACGAAGCTAATAACAAGGGAGTCAAGTACTTGGCTGTCTCAAAAACACTTGGCACAATGCAGTTGTCGTAAACATCCCTCAATGTGTCAACATTGATGTCCTCGTACTCGTAATCGTACTCGAACATCTGTTGATCGCAGTCCTCGCAGTCCGTGTCCTCAGTGTAAAACGGTGAGTCGAATTTTTCACTGTACATTGTTAATCTTATTTGTTAGTTTAATACTCGAGGATTTATTTATTTCAAGTTGGGAGATACGAATTCGCCGGAGGTTATTCTCCCACTTGTGTTTACAAGCCGACTACCCTTCGGCAGTGTTCGGAGACTGGGGTTTAAATGGTAGACCGACATCTCGGAACATCTGGACATAGATAAGTAGATGACAGGTAAAGAAGAATCTTAGAACAGAATAAGGGATGAAATATGACCGTCATTTTTGCGATCCCGTCATATGACCAAAAATGACGGTCATGTGACGAAAAAAATGTTTTAACTATAAATGACGGGTCACAAGTAATTTTCAATTTGTGACGGTCGTTGATTTAAAAAAATAAGATGGGTCTGTGTAGGTGAAAAATGACGGTCATTTTTCCTTCGCAAATGTGATGGTCATAGGGGCGGGGGAGGGGAATCTGACAGCCGTCATAACTGTTTCAGTGGCCGTTATATGACCGTCATATGACGGATGTATTTGCATCTCTAGATGCTCCACACAGTTAGATTCTTGGGAGTTATTTTGACGGTCATTAATAAAAAAAAATAAGATGGTCTGTATAGATGAAAAATGACGGTCATTGTTTCTTCGCAAATGTGACGGTCATAGGGGCGGGGGAGGGGAATGTGACAGCCGTCATAAATGTCTCATGTGACTCATGTGACTGTCATATGACGGATGAAGAAAAATCTTAGAATCCGTCATATGACGGTCATGTGACTGTCATACGACGGATGCATTTGCATATCTAGATGCTCCAAACTGCCAGATACCTCGGAGGTATCTGTTCATCTGCGTTCAGATACTTGTGAGATCCGGGCTTTAAATCGTCGGTTGTGAAGGGCCTTGAATTTCTTAAATCTCCGAAATAGTTGTCCACATTTCTGGCATTTCATTTTCTTTCATTACATTTTATTGTTTCAACGGGACCTGTATTTGCTACATTATCAATTTCTCGGGATATTGATTTATTGGGATAGTCACAAAAATAAACTCTCTATTCTATACGTTTAATTAGAAAAAAACATGAATCACCTCAACACAAACAAAAATTTAAAAAAAAATGTAAAAAATCTTAAAAAAAAAAAAAATTTAAACCTTTTTTCTACAATTCTCCGAATACTCCCTCCCCCCCACAAACAACATAATCCCATCCAACAGATGGTGCTACCTCACCTCAACTACACCTCTCCCCTCCCCCTCCCGCGCTGCCCACTCGCCGCCCCCACCACTTGAAAAATCCTCGCCAAACTTCAGAGTGCGTGCGCTGCATGTAGAAAATGGTTGACGCACCTTGGTATCCCGTCGTTGGTCCCTAAAATCCCCAGTAAAACAAAAACTAAATCGAGCGCGATAGCTAAACGACAAAATAATAAATCCACCGTTTGACAATGTCAGTGTAATTGCCAATAGTCCATCACTCCTCAGAACCATCTGTTTGCGGTTCGCCTCCGGGAGGGGGTACGTACCAACTACCTGTTCTCCACGGTACGGAAATAATCACCGAATAAATAATCACAAACGTCGGGTAATTAATGAGTGAAAAAATAGAGAAAGGGGGGTAAAAATTGTTTGGCGGAATCTCACGGGTGTATTTTAAGGCGAATGCATGTGATGTGCGTTGAAAATTCAATTGCTGGAGAAGCTACCTGTCATTGGAGTTGATCGTGACTTTCCCTGGCAACAAGTGTCGTTTTACCAACTCCGGAAACAATGACTTATCGACAATCGAGCCCACGCGATTCGTTAATTCCAGGTTCCAAGTCATTAGAATTGTCGAATTAAATCGGACTCTATCAAGTCGACTTGTTTGATCACTTTCTAATTATTCAAGGCATTATCGAGTTATCAACGAATGTGAGATAATTGTTTAATCAATTTTTTAAGGAGTTGTTGGGTTGATCAATTTGTTTGGCTGTTTTCTCCTGGTTAAACGTGAAAAAAATCGTCGGATTCGATTAATCTGAGTTGTTTGATCACTTTCTCTAATTAAACTCGTTATCCAGCCGTTAATGAGTGTAAAAATTGATCAATTGGTTTTTCAAGGTGTTTTTTTTAATCAGATCAGTTGTTTTTAGTCATCAAACTGATTGAACTGAGGAAATATGTCGATTTTAATGGAATTAGATTAACGCGAGTCGTTTGATCCCTTTCGCGAAAAGATTAGTCGACGATTTTTTAAGCTGTTGATTCGTTATTTTTCCAGTCATCAAACTGATTAAATATTAAAAAACTGTGGAAAAAATTGACGGACACGATGGAGAAACGGCAGGATGGGCTGGCTCCGTTTTCCTCTGGTGAGTTTTCATTTTCAATAATTAGGGGAGGGTAGGGTAAAATGGACACTTTTGACTTATTTTAAATGTTAATGACGGGCTGACATGTCGATAAAATTCAATAAGTTTTTTTTCAATACAAAGAACAATTTTTTCCCTTTATGACGAGCCTAAATTGAGCTCAATTGATCAATTTGTTTCTGAGTTATGAATAATTTTTAAACAGTCTATAGTGTCCATTTTACCCCACCCTCCCCTAACACTCATCACAAAGGGAAAGAATTGTTTTTTGTATTGAAAAAAAAAAAAATTAAATTTCATTAACATTTCAACCCGTCACTAATATTTTTAAAAAAGTCAAAGGTGTCCATTTTACCCCAACCTCCCCTAAAAATATGTGATGGACGGATTTTTTTGTGATTTTTGGGGGCCGCGGGGAGGAAAAATCGAGGGGAATTATTTCGGGAGATTTAGGGCTGGTCCAAGGATTTCCCAGGATGGAGGTGGGGTTGGGTGGGTTTGGCTCGCTCTTCACTGCCCCGTGCACTGCTCGAGGGGTTGCAAATATCCGAGAGGGGGTGTATTGCTGTGTGGGTTCGAGGTCGTGGATCAATTCGTTATTGCGAGGGTTTTTTTTCGTTGGGAATGGAAATGGTCGAAAGCAACAGTTCTCGCGAGGTTTTATCAGTGACGAGGTAATTGTTGGGAGCATTAATTTTGGGGGAGGGGGAGGGGGGAGTGATAAGCGATTGCTGCGGTCGGAGGCTTTGTTGGGATTTTTAGTTGAGTGTTTTTTTCAAGGGAAAGGATTCTACTGGAAAAATGTGGGGATTAGTCTGTT